ACTGTGTGTTTCACGCAGTTGTATTTTTATACATCTGTGTGTTTCACGCAGTTGTATTTTTATACATCAGGATTGCGTTTTTCCACTTCCTAGGCCTTATACAGTGTATGGAGTGTACGGGAGTGATTCACGCAATGGTGCGAATAGTCACGGCCTTATTAATAATTGTAATTATATTTGCAGGGGCTGTTTTCTGACGTCTTCTCTGCTAGCAACACTAGCTGTCAGCCTGTCAATGCCCATGTCAATGATTGCCGATGTACTTCTCAAGAAAGTTGAATACTCGTGTATTTTCTATCTCGGCATGGTACCCATGGTGCTTGCATTCATAACAGTATCGTTACTGTCGCATTATGATAACTGGGATCCTGTCATGGATTTGATCAAGAGCTTTTACTCTTGGTTGTTTAAGAAGAGCCGAACAATGAGGTGAGTCTCATTTATTTAAAAAAAATTTTTGCATTTAAAAAAATGTTTATTCGTTTGATCAAAATCAAGTTTATTCAATTTAAATAAATAATTTCTCCATAATGAGGAGCATTGTGCAGAAAATTTATTAATTTCGTGGGACGATTTTTGTTTAGGATACCAGATTTAGAAGCTGAACAAACTGAATCTCTCATCGGTATTAACCACGGCGAAGACCACGAGGCTTAACACGACAATAAAATTCTACGTGAGAGAAATCAATTAGCCCCTAGGTGCATAATTGAAGTCCACTTCGTTTAAATTTCCACCCGGTTTATCGATATTCTCTGATTTATCAGCATAATAACTGCATTTAGTTCCGATAATTTAACGAATCAGCAGCATAAAGAGTAGGTGGTAATTATCAATGTGATTTTGAGTAATTGTTTCGAATTATTCAGGAGCAGATGCATATCCCCGAGTTTGAGTACTAGTTTCTTTTCATTATTTTGTTGAGTGAGAATTTATGACACTGTTTAGTATTCCAGTACTTACAAGAATTTAATTTAGGATTGCAACGCAGATTTACATTAGATAATTAATTGTAATTACTTGAAGACACTGTCAGTGAGATATTTATGTAATTCTTCGAGGGAATGATCAAAATAATTGTTGCTAATCCAGACCAAGATTTCTAAATTGATTGAGTAACCGAATTTAAGGTGTTAATTAATGTTTTAATGGTGAATTCAGTATGAGGAAGTGGGAAAATGTAAAAAGGAGAGAAACATGTTTTTTGCATCTTGTTGAATGTTGATTTTAGAGACAAATGTCGTTCCCTAGGTGAATAAACAATTGCAGAAGACGAATTGAAATTTTTACATTTTGCCACTTTCCCAGAGAATTATTTTAATAACGTCACAACTGTCATTGAATTTAAGGAATTCAATCGGCTCTCCATAAATTGTCTGTAAAATCTAGTCAATGAGAAAAAATCCAAAATAATAGCTGAAAAAAAAATCATCTGAATGTATTGTGACGTCGAGGAAGATATTTTTCTACAATTGGTAATGAATTTTCGATTGAAAAATATTTTAAAAATAATTAGAGACGAGAGACATCAATGTACAACTCTACTTTTAATCGATCATTTGAGACTGCTTGATTTTTCGCCTTCCTTGGAAGACTAAAGATTGCTCGCACAATAAAAAATAATTGAAACAACAAAAGAACAAAAAAAATGATAAATGATAAGAGAAGCGGTGAAAGTCATTTCTGCTAACAAATACGATTGTTTTCACAGTTTTTTGATGGATTTAATTTTCAACAATTGAATAATTGTATTTCTAATGGAACTTTATCATTACGATGCTTCTTGTTGTGATATAAGAATTATTAAAAGAGTAAGAGAATTATCTAAAAGTAGGAGACTAAAAGTAGACTCAAGACGTCAATGTTAATTTGAAGATAATGAAGAATGAGACGGAGAATTGTATGAGAAATACCATTCCTAGGATTTAGAGTTTATCGTTCCTAAATATACCTGTAAATTTATTGTAAATATACTTATTGCATTGTTGAGAAAAGAAATATAGTAAGATTATACGAGTAAAGAAGAATTGTTATTCTATCCCTTTTCCCATCTTTAAAAAAAAGTATTAAAAGCTACCCAAAAACATCTAAAAAAACATTAATTCTGCCCATTTAAATCGTCATTTTATAATGAGCTACATTCACGCAATGAAGAACTCATGGGCTGTAATTGACAGTTGACACTGAACCAATTATTTTTCTAATTATTTCTGCTCCATAAAAAATCCCCCGATGCTAAATCCCTTCGACATGAACAGTCACGATGACTCCAGCTCCCTTCGTTTGAGTATGAATGTGAATAACGAAAATTTTTCATCAGAAAAAAACTACAACAATGTTACTTCCCTACGGTGAGTGAAATTTGCTCGATAAATTGGGGTAATTGAGTTCTTGAAGGTTGATTTTCGGGGTTTAGGGTGCCGGCAGATCCCTCGTGGCCCAAAATTCCTTCTCGCCGGACGACAGACAATATTTCGGATATCAGTGAACCAGCCTGTGATATTTTCATGGGGGGTACCCCCAGGAGGAGTCGCTCGATAACTCGACCGCATTCAATCAGTTCCAATGTTAATGAGAAAAATTATCAGGGGAGTTTCTTCGATTATCAGTGCCCCAAAGTGTCGACTCAACACTATCCACCGAGGAGACGACCTGGCTGTTTAGATCCTCGGTTCAAAAAGTGAATTTTATGTTTTTCACAGTTTCTATTTGATTGCTTGAAAAGTGGTCCTGTTTCGCTGTGAATATCTCGCAAAATTTTGGGTTTTGAGAAAAATGTGAGAAAATATTTTTTGTGGAGATTTTAATAAGCTGCGAAAGGATTCTTCTGCCTTTTTTTCATAAGCCCCGTAGTTTTGGAGATATTAGCAAAATAGCCTGCATGGGTTTTTAAACCTGTTGTCAATTCTCACAGTTTCCTGAAAAATAGTGCTGTTCTATTTTGTAATTATCTCGGAAACTATGGAGTTTAAAGAAAAATATCAAAGATAATTTTTTATAGAGATTTTCATAAGCTATAAGAATGTTCTTGTGACTTTCTCTCTAAAACCACGTAGTTTTAGAGATATTTACGAAGAACTGTATTAAATCCCTGAATTCTTCTGTTCTCCATCGCATTAGTTGCCCGTCGATCATTAATTTCCTCATTATCACCAGAGTGACATCAAAGAAACCGCAGTCCACACCGGTCGACCCTCCACCGAGATATCCCTCGAATTCACCAGAATCAAATTCCTCGGGTGCACCAGTTTCCAGGAATAACTACGATTCGTTTCGGTGCGAGGCAAATCCCATGAAGTTAAAGAGGATTGAGAGCATTGCGACGCAAACTGCACCCGGGGATGATATATCGCCGTTTGAAAGATGTGAAGTGGAATTGAGAGATAAAAACACAATGGAAATTCAATCAGTCGAACTGGGGGATTCGAGAATTATCGAAAAATGTGAGGGAGAGAAGGATTTTAAGGCTCCCATTCCTCTCTCGAAGCTCACCATCGTTTCGAATGCTTCTATTAATGTGCAGTCGGAGCCTTCCTCCTGTGAATGTCAAGTAAATCCTCCATTTCATTTATTCATTCATTCATTCACTCATTCATTCATTGAATAATTGTCTTTGCTGTGAGTAGAGGGAGAATAGGGGTTCAAGCATTTCGCGGAATGCTCGTAATTTTATTGTACATAAATATTCCTGGGAGGATTGCGTTGGGAGGAAAATGTGGAGATAAATTTTCCACATAAGATTATTTGATTTCAAGCGGGAATGGAGGACATGTGAAACAGGGATTTATGTGCAGATTTCTTCGTCAATGTCTCTGGGATGGCAATTAAAGTAATTACTAGGAAAATTCAAAAGAGTCGTTAATGGATTAATGAACAATTGTAGGAGACGAATTGAAATTTTCTTTTGCCACTTTCCCAGAGAATTATTTTAATAACGTCACAGCTGTCAACGAGAAAAATCCAGAATAATAACTGTAAAAAAATCATCTGAATGTATTGTGACGTCGAGGAAGATATTTTTCTACAATTGGTAATGAATTATCGATTGAAAAATGTTTTAAAAATAATTAGGGACGAGAGACATCAATGTACAACTCTACTTTTAATCGATCATCTGAGACCGCTTGATTTTTCGCCTTCCTTGGAAGACTAAAGATTGCTCGCACAATAAAAAATAATTGAAACAATAAAAGAACAAAAAAAAAGATAAATGATGAGAAGCGGTGAAAGTCATTTTTGCTAACAAACACGATTGTCTTCCCAGTTTTTTGATGGATTTAATTTTCAACAATTGAATAATTGCATTTCCATTGGGACTTTATCATTACGAAGCTTCTTGTTGTGACATAAGAATTATTAAAAGAGTAAGAGAATTATCTAAAAATAAGAGGCTAAAAACAGGCTCAAAACGTCAGTGTTATTTTGAAGATGATGAAGAATGAGACGGAGAATTGTATGAGAAATACCATTCCTAGGATTTAGAGTTTATCATTCCCAAATAAACCTGTGAATTTATCTCTTCAACTTCAGATTGATATTAAATGTTCTAGGGTACAAACGGTGTTTTCATGAATACAATCCCCCTCCCAGTGGTCAGCTACCAGATATCCCCCCAATCCCAGGGGAAAATCGAGCTCACCCCCCAGTTAGCAATCTACTACCCCCAAAATCTCTCTGGATCCCAGGGAAAAGGCTCCCTCGACCACTGCAGAGTCACAATTCCCCACCAGCTCAACTCTGGGGACTCGGAAGTCCCCGACAGCGAGAGAATCACCGAAGACAGTGCATCCCAGTGCCACAAAACCCCTCATCTGAGCCGAAAAAATTCCAACACGAAGAACAACGAGACCATGTCAGCCCAGACCCAGGAGTTGCTGACGAAGAACTACTGGAATTACTACAGAAGTCTGAGGGAGGGCGATGGGGATGATTACAGGAGGGAAATACAGAGCCACGAGAGGATGGGAGCCCCAGAGACGAAGAAGAGAAGGTCCGAGGAGGATAACTCGGGAGGACTCAGTCCCCTGGAGTTGAGGACTTTGGAGCACTGCACTGTCCTCTCCTCCATGATCAACAACACGAGGGATCAGGAGAGTCCGGAGATGAGGGAACTGTTTGGGAGTAAAAGTGGATCCTTTCCAGGAGAATTGAACGCTCAACAGCCCCTGAAGAATCAGGGGAGCTCTCGAGTGGATAAAAGCGGGAATAATTCCTTCATCTTTGCGTCATTGGGTGAGGACAAGAGTTTGGGGCTGTGCGAGAAGGCCGAGGAAAGAAAAATTCCCAAAGTTAGAACTTTTGGTGAGAGATTACACAGATTAAATAGATGAATTAACTTCTGAACGAAATTCGAGTCTTCAATTGTCAATATCTCCGAACAAAGTGATACGATTTCGATGGGTCAGGGCTAGTTTTGAAGAGGGAAAAGGTACCTTGAAAATGAAAGAAAAATTGGGGAATTTGACTCCGCCGTTCTCGAGTAATTGATGATTGAAGATTGATAGTTCAACTGCACTTTTTTGTAATTAAAACTTGGGGAGTCTTGGTAATTGTGCAGTTATCTCGGGAATGAGTGGTTTTGGGAGAAAATATGTTGGAACATTTTTTGTAGCTGAGGGAATTATCTACAAAAAACATCTTATGACGTTTTGTCGTGAAATGGCTCGTTGTCGAGATAAATTGAAGGATAAATTGAATTGACACACGTTTTTAGAATTATCGTCACGTTTAGGTTTGTAATTTTGTTTAATTCGGTTTGGATTGTCATTGTCGCAGTTTTATGTGGAATCGCCATTTACTTCGTGATAATTCTCCTCCAAGCATTCTACGAAAACGTTTACTATGAGGATAACGACTACTACGAGGAGCTTAACTACGTGGAGTACTTTTTAAATTACGCAATGCTGTCGTTTCGAGAGGCATTTCGACAGACTTTTGATGTGATGAACAGTCTGCTGTTGCAATCGGTAAAATTAGACCTATTGTTCTTCTATTCGTTCCAACAACTTATTCACCACATGCGATAGGTTTGAGGCGAAAATATCTTCTTTTTGAAGAATGATTAAAGCCTGTAAAAAATATCTCCGAATTAATTTCCCTTTTGATTAATTTAATTAATCACTTTCCTCTTGGATTCAGCGATATTTATTGAGAGCTCATTATTGTCTTGTAGTTTTCTTGATCTTCAGCGTGTCTGCCGCAACTGCAGAAGGACTCGAACTTCAACCGGAAAGAAATAAACAGAAGACATAAATAAATGGAAAGAGGAGACTTCATTACTTCACCTAAAATTAATCAATTGCACATTTTTGATGATTAATTATTGTGAATTAAAAATAAAAATGATGGATTAAACCGACAGAACTCAGAGTTCATCTCTTCATTTATTCGCCTTGAAGAATGATTGAAGTTCTTAAAAAATATCTTCCGATTCATTTCTCTTTTCTAACAAAAATGAAAAATAAATAAATGGAAATAAGAGACGCCACAACTCCACCTAGAATTAATTTTTGATAATGAATTATAGTGAATTAAAAATAAAAATGATGAGTGGAACTGAGAGACCTCAGACTTCATCTCTTCATTTATTCGTTGTTTCATTTGGAATTGATGAATCTAGCTTTACCCCAATCATAAAATAACAAAACATAACCTTCTGCCGAGAGCTCCGACAGAATCAGAAAGAGGAAAAAAATGTTTCGTCGATTTCTTCCCGGGAGTAAAGTGCGAGCGGAATTGACACAATTTAGAAATGTGTCGAAGCCCTCGACGAAGATGAAGGAGAGCCCTGGGGAGAGAATGCAGGCCTGGCAGATTCACTCTTACGGGGATACGAAGGAGCTGAAGCTGTCAAGTGTCCGGATGCCGGTCATCTCGAGGCCCACTGACGTCCTCGTCCAGGTTGAAGCTGCCAGTGTCAATCCCATCGACGTTGCAATGCTCCGTAAGTCACAGAGAATAACGTCTTCGAGGAATTTAAGTCGTGAAGCGAAAACGAAGAAAAATCGAAATGAGGAATTTTGTTAACATTTGTTTTTGGGGGATATCTGGAGATCGAGGAGAGATAGCGAATTTTTCGATAGAACCTTTTTTGCGTGGAATTTCAAGAGCTACAAAAAAGGTCTTCATGAAAAATCGTCTATCTCCGTTGTATTTGAAGATATCCAGCAAAATAATGGATTAATCGTCGATTGTTTTTCGCAGATGGTTATGGAGCAAAAGTATTGAACCTAATGAGAACAGCAAGGCGCATGAAAACCGACATTGAGTTCCCCCTGACGATGGGACGAGATTTCTCCGGAGTTGTCGTTGGAAAAGGACATGGAATTCACGATGATTCTCTCAAACTGGGGGATGAAGTGTGGGGGGTGGTGCCTGTGGAGCGTCAGGGGTGTCATTCAACACATGTGATCATCAGCAATGACTTGGTGATTATCCCTTTCTCCTCTAGAATTCCAATTTTTCATAATTAAAAAATTATGATTTTTTGGCATTTTTCTTTTCTCGATTTTTTATGATTTCATTCACAATTTTTTAATTGAATATTCATCACTTTTTGGGTTCTATTCATAATTTTCACATCCGAAATTTATGATTTCCTGTAATTTTATTCATAATTTCGTAGGGGAGAGTGGGGCAAAAAGTAACAGTCGAAAAACGAACGTTGGGGGCAATTCAAGCAAAACAATTTTTTTTTTAATATTCATATTACGAAAGTTAATGAAGACAATTTTTTTTGCTTGCATTGCGTCAGTCGTTGTTCGACTGTTTCATTTTGCCCCACTCTTCCTCTTCAAAAAGTCATGATTTCTTGTTATTTTTCAATTTAAGGCCCGGGTGCAATAAAAAAAGTAGAAATAAAACATTAAAAAAAAAATTAAGAAATCACTCCGATAGAGAGGAAATAGTGAATCGATAATTTATCATCGTACTAACGATCTGACAGCCATTAGATACAGCAAATTATTAATTTGCAATGTCCTCCCTAACGGGTTTATTTCTCAATATTATTCAAAAACAGTTTGAAAATGTTCAGCTCTTATTCAACGTTTTTTTGATTGTACAATCATAATTTTCAGACTCCAGGGCTACGTAAAATTGACTAGCAATTGGAGATAATTTCAGATTATAAAAATAAAAAAAACAACCAAAATCATATTCTCAGGATAGTCCACGCGGGCCTTAATTGATCATTTTTGTAGTAAAAATTTATAATTTATTTTTATCATTCTAGGTACGCCTGAGGCCAAAAAAATTATCCTACATCGAAGCAGCGAGTATTTTATACGCGGGCTTGACCGCCTGGTCTGCATTATGGATCACTGGAGGGTTGTGCTACAAGACTTCTCTCCCAACGATCTTGAACAAGAGAATATTGATCCTGGGGGGTTCTGGGGGAGTTGGAACTCTCGCGATTCAACTGGCGAAGGCTTGGCACATGCAGGTCGTCACCACCTGCAGCAGTGACGCTGTCAATGTGCTAGAGAATTTGGGGGCTGATATTGTTGTTGATTACAAGGCTGAGGATTCTGATGAATTGATCAAGAGCGAAGGACCGTGAGTGTTTTTTTAATGATAAATAAACTTTTCGCTATGAGTTCAGAGAGAATTTCAGGAATTTAAAATGGTTAATCAATTATTAGGTTTATATTTTAAACATGAGAGGCATTATGTCGCTTTGACCCCTCTAAATATTTGATAATTCACGTGTACTCTTCATTTTAAAAAATAATTAATGAGTAATTGAAGAACTAATTAAGGCAATGGTTATTCACATGCCTGCGTGAGTCCCTGTGATACACTCCGTACACTCCATGGGATTTTCTGAGTGCTTCACGTAGGCACTCAACTTTCAAACCAGATCACTAATCATTTCTAGAATGATAATGATAATGATAATCATTAATCATAGAGATGGGATAATGATAATCATTATAATCATTTCTAATAATTTCTATAAATGATCACTAATCATTTCTAGATATGAAATCATCCTGGACTGCGCCAACCAGGGCCCAGACCTCGTAAAACAAAAGGGATACGACTGTGGCACCTACATAACCCTGAACTCCCCTCTCCTGAGGAACATCGACGAGCTGGGCTACGTCGGAGGAGCCCTCAAGAACCTCACTGACCTTCTGAAATACAACATCCCCCTCAAAGATAACAAGAGCTTCGTGAAGTGGGGATTTTTCGCTCCCTCCTCAGCAGGAATGAGAACTCTCCAGGAACTCGTGGAGGATGGAAAGATCACTCCAGTTGTGAAGAAGGTTTATCCCTTTGAGGACCTACCCAGGGCTTATGAGAGGACCCTACAGGGTCATCTCAGAGGAAAACTAGTCATTGACATGAAGAATAAAAGTGAATAGAGAGCTGTAATCAAGTGATAAAAGTCGAAGGAATTTAATCGGATTATTTCATCGGTAAATATCGCTGAAGCTGAAGGGTTTAGAGGAAAAAGTCAGAAGAATTTCTTTTCGGAAATTTAATTCTTCACAAAAAATGGCTTATGACTTTTTCTCACAACTCCCCTGGGTTCGAAAGTATTTTCAAAATAATCTGTGTGTTTTTTCAAAAATTCAACAATGTCCAGAAATTTCGTGCAGACTATTTCGTGAATATCTCCTAAACCATTGGATTGATCAAAAAATGTCGCAGAAACTTTTTTGTAGCTCACAAAATTCACTACAAAATTGCTTTCTGAAATTTTTCTCCAGACCCCCTCGCTCCAAAGATATTCACGAAATGATCCTTCATCATTTTATTCTCCTTCACCACTTCACATTCAACAATTCATAAATTATTTTCTTAATAAATTATCTAAATTAAACGGACGTCACATGTTTCCTCTCAACTTCCTTCGCCGTTCTCGACAAAATTCCCCCAGAAAACCCGATTTTACTCTTCACCTCAGACCAGGAACTGCTAGCAATCTCAGTTGCTCTGTCAGTCCCACTTTTAAGGACTTCATTCAGATATCCAGGGTCGTTCACCAGCTCCTCGTACCTCTCCCTGATCGGTCTCAACTTCTCTATGACGACGTCTGCGAGGTGGAGCTTGTACTGCCCAGTGTTCAGCCCTTGTGCCTCGTCACAAATTTCTTGAGGGGATTTATCTGTTAATATCGAGTGGATGATCACCAGATTCGACACCCCTGGACGCTCCGCCGGGTCGTACGTCACTTCAGACGTGAAGTCTGTCACTGCTTTCTTCAAGTATTCCCGAATTACCTCTGGGGGGTCCACCAAGTTTATGCTACTCTTTTTGTACTCTGACGACTTAGACATCTTCTTCGCGGGCTCTCTCAGGGATTTTATTCGTCCACTTGATTCTGAAAATAATGGGATCGAGTCAAAAAAAATTTTCCAAGGAATTAAAAATGAGCTAAATTCACTAAATTGGAAATGAATGATTACGTAATGAATGGAATATGAATAATATAATTAATTAAATCAATTAAATATGATATTAATCGAATACTCATTCTAGTTGAGTCCATTCTGGCAGAATTTTCATTATATTCTTGTTAAATATCTTGATATCTAGACTTTTTTACGCTTTTTGATGTTTCCTATAAGAAAATCTCTATGAAAATCCGCAAAAAATTCACTATTCAAAGGTAATCATTAAAAAATCTCAAAGAATTCCACTGATGAACGAAAAAAAAAGAATACTAACTATTGATAAGTGGCTCAGGCATTGGAAACGTATTTCCATATTTAACATTAAAAAATTGAGCTGTATGTTGTGCCAACTGCAGATGCTGTATCTGATCCTCTCCCACAGGTACATGAGTAGCTTTATAAAGCAATATATCAGCTGTTTGCAGAACTGGATACGTGAACAGCCCCAGGGGAATGTCCTTGAGTTTTTCACTCTTCTCCTTGAACTGTGGTTGTTGGGACAACCTTGGCATGGTCGTCATGCTGCCAAAGACCCAGGCGAGCTCTGCGTGCATGGGGACTGACGACTGCTGGAAGAGAATGCTCTTCGAAGGGTCTATACCGCAGGCCAGGAGGGTTGCAGTGATTTTTATTATGTTATCCTGTAATTCCTTGGGGTCCTGCAAGAAGCAAAGTGGAAATAACGACTTGTAAAAACATTATTATTCGTTGAAAGAAGTGAAATGAAGAATAAAAACCTCCGGAGTGAGGAATTTCCTGCAAAATATTATTTGAAAATTACGAATGGCTCTCTGTATTATATAAAAATCCAAATCGACTTCTGGTGATGAAAATTTGGTACTCGAAATTAAGGATGTTTAGCCAGTGTTGGTAAATTTTCGGTAAATGTGTTGAATAATTTTGGTAGTTTTTTTAAAAATCAATTGATAAAGTTAAGTAATTAATATTGATAAAGGCAATTAATTGGGAAGAGCATCTGCTAATTAATTCATTAATTGATTGAATTAATCATTTATGAGAATGAATAAATGAAGGAATTAATCGATTAATTAATTGAATAAACTTACTTGAGGAGCTGTTATTGCATGCATATCAACAATGCTCCACACAACATCCTCGTGGATCTCCTGATACCGAACCCATTCCCTCACAGCGCCCAGATAATTCCCGAGATGAATAGCACCCGTTGGCTGAATCCCAGACAGAATCCTCACCGGATAATTCGCCTCATCCTTCTTCCTGGCCTGTGGATCAACAACTGTTCAATGATTCGTAACTAAAATTGTGGAAAATGTTGAATGAAAAATGTTGGATTCGTTAGTGAGACTTACCTTCTCGCTGTTACACCGATTTAATGCCCCAGTCGATTTAGAAAGTCTATTTGCACTCGCGAAGACAGATCTACTGTTTCTTATTGTTGACAACATGTTTATTATTTTATTCAGCTATTTGTTGGCATGAATGTTACGTGTAAACATCTTAAGGTGGATTTTTACATTTTATTGAGGTTAGAAATTTACCTCTTTCCCGCGGGTTTTTAAATCTATTCGATTTCCGGAAAACAAAAATGATGAAAATTCAATATTGTGGAGTTTTTTATGTTAAAAAAAAATGTATTATTATAATTATATATTTTTTCATAGTATTGAAATTTTATAATTATAATTATATAATAAAATTATCATTATTAGTATAATTATCATTATATTTTATAAAATTTCAATGTTATGGAATTGTTTATATTTTTTTAAATCGAAGTTTTGAAGTTTTCATTTTATAAAAATTAATTAGCATTGGATAATGCATAAATACCAATAATTAATGATGTTATGATATTATTCTCAATAATTTCATGAACATTCCATTGAATTTCCGCTTCGAAATGATTAAAAAAAATTTGAATTGTGGAATAACGTATAGTTTTCATGCAAATATTTTTTTTTTAAAGAAAAATTAATCGGGAACGTTATTTTTTAAGTGCTTTATGAGTTGAATTGATCTACATTGTCACTGGCACGCATTTTTTTCATCAGTCTCCCCCCCGTCGCTTTGTGTCAACTTTGTTTTGATTATTCAATGTCTCAGAGGACAACGGACAAGAGTGAAGCCGAATAAAGAGATTAGAGGAGAATCTTTCCCCATCGTTTTTAATTTTACGCGATTTCTTTTCTGTTGAAAAATTAAAATATCATGGAGCCGATCAATCCCTCCAAATTATCGATTAATGAGAATGAAAAATTATCACTGGACTTGAAAATTAGTGATAAACCGTCGTGTTCCAGAATGAAAACAGAAGGTTTGGATGAGAATTCCAATTTCACTGAAACGTGAGTACAAGAAAATATCAGAGGTCATTGCCATTTCGTGTATTTATCCCCGACAGACTGCACAAGAAATTTCAAGAGATTTTCCTTGCGGATGATTGAATTATCGACAAAAAATGTCTCCATATTTTTTTATTCAATTAATTTTTTTTTGTTCTTTTTAATTTTTAATTTTTTTTTTTAGTTTTGCATGATTTTTTTTTACTTCCGAATAAAAAATATTAGACAAATATTTTTTCATTTCGATAGATAATGAAAATTGATAGTTTTTGATATTTTTATAATTATAATAAAAGTTGATTTAATTTTACAACATTGTATTAACAGGGAATAATGCAGACCTTTCGTCATTCTTCGAAACAAAAAAAAAATCTCGTATATTCAACAAAAAACTGCATTTGAGTTGAACAAATTTGTTTTCATATATTAATTTTTATTGATTTAGTTTTATTGCGGTTTATTTATTCACTTCATTCTATTTTTATTTCATCAATTTTATTAATTTTTTTGCTTCAATTGTTCGCCAATGAATGGACGGAATTAAATCTTTCGTTTCAAATATAGCTATTGTTTTTTAAATTATCGATTGTTTTCCCACTTGTTTATTTATTGCACAGTATGGAGCACTGTTCAAGCCCGGGAAGCACCTCCAGTGAATTATCGACCCTCCTCCCCCGAATAAAAAGCCTAAGAATCGAGTCATCGGCCCCCACCCTGTACCATGCATTTGGAAAAGTGGAGAATGTCATAGCAACAATGGGCCTGGCGCTCATCGAGTCGACGAGCTCCACCGTCCTCTTGGACATCGACACTCCAGTCTTCATTATTCTCCCCTCTACACCTCTTGACGAGGAGAACCCCGAGTACGAGCTCCTCGGGGAGATCGATGACATCTTCGGATCGATAGGAAGGCCCATGTACTCCGTTCGTTTGACGCACGAGATTCTGGGGAGATCGAGCTTGATGATCGACAGCTTTGTTTATCTACTGTCCAGTCATCCCAATACGAATGTTCTGCGCGTTGAGAGTGTGGGAGACAAAAAGTACAGCGTAGTTGCTGGAAAACGTGGGGCTTACGATGAATAATCTGGGATTTTTCGAATAGATTCGCAAAGGGGAGAAATTATTTCCTTTTTTTAAGGAAATTTAATTTCTATTTTAATTTTTAATTATTTCATTTTTTATAATTCAGTGGTGGAGTGGTAAAACGGTTAGTCAATTCCATTCTAACGCCAGTTCTCGATGAATATCTCAAACTCTGAAGGAGTTGCCAAGATTTTCCTGCAAATCTTTTTTTCCATTCATAACGAACATTTAATGTCCGAATGAATGGGAGAAATAAAACAGAAATGTAACAATACCAGAATTTTGAGAAAAAAAATTGTTAATAAACTGTTTGTCTGCATTCATGAACAATCCAGTGTTTTCAATTTTTTCGTTATATCATTGATTATTTCATCAGAGCTCAAATCATGAGTGAAAAAATTCTATTCCCATTCAGTAGAATTTATTCTATTGAATAAATTGGGATATGTCGATCTTGTTCAATTTTTTTAATGGAAAATTGTGCAAATTGCATTTTTTAAACTCCGGTAGAAGAATTTTTGAATGAAAAAAAGACATTAAAAAAATTATTCGAGTAAATTAGCCCTTCTAATGAGCTAAATCATGGCTGAAAATCCCAGAAAATAGAAAAAGCGTTTTTCTCCAGTACAAAAATCAGCTCAATTAAACAACCATTTAATCATTTAATTCATTGAAGTCATCATGAGGAAAATTTTTGTAGCTCTCAATGTAGCTCACAAGAAAAACAGTGCAAATGGAATTTTTTAAACTTGAGTAGAAGAATCTTTGCCGAAAAAACGGCATTAAAAAAATAAAATAATCACGAAGGAATGTTACTCGAGTAAATTTACCAGTTCGCCTCAATAAGCCAAGCAAATAAGTACAGTTACTCCCCCGAACGCTCGGAAATTCCCGAATGTAGGTGACTTTCTCGATTTCACCGTAAAAATTTCGCTGATAACAGGCAACAAACGGAGGAATCCTAGGAAAACGCGTGCGCAATTGAGTCCAATGGTTTCAAACACCTCTCGGCGGGGCGATCCGTCATTGGTCCGGGGCAGTGGAGGCGCCCATCGCGCTCGTCCCGGTCAAGATGGAAAGAGAGAGGGAGAGGATGTAGTGAGCCCTGCTCGTATCGCAACCCGCAGTGTTCAGTGGCCGAGGTGGACGAACAGATCATGAGGTATTTTTTTCATTCCAAAACGTCAGTCATCGAAAATTGTGAGGCACTTTTCACCTGTCCCACCTCCACTCTCTTCCAGATTCTGGGCCTCCAAGGGGTGACTAGGGAGGCACATACGAGGGCTTGCTCCTGCAATTGCACCACCCGATACATTCGGTGTTCGTTGTCACTGCCACGTACAACTGGCCCACTATCCAGAGCCAGGGGATTTTACCTGCTCTTCGTTCCAGGAAATATCACCGAGGAAAACGACAAGCGACATGACGAGCAAACGAATGATGACGGTAAATCCTATTTTCGGATTTTTTAAATGCACCAACTTTCGGAATTACGGATTTATATTTTATTCAAAGAGAAATTTCAGTCATTGGAAATTTCAGATGTTCATTTTTTCAGATAATTGAGGTCTAAAGTTGTCAATTTTCTCTACTTACGATTTGTTTTCCAATTAATTTTCATTATTGGAAATGAATTATTACGAAATTAATTAATTCAATTAATTATTACGAAATAATCAAAACCAAATTTTGAAAATGCAGAATTTAGGAATTTTCCGACTCGGGATGTTTTTTAAAATTTAAATGAAGTCATTAAAAATTGAGAAAGACGTTAATTATGTTATTTTCGTCATTTCGAAGGATTAAAATTGAACAAAATATCTAGTAAAGGGCTTCAAGCACTATTTTTTCAATGAAAAATAATTCTAATTTCGTTATTTTCCACAGAAAATAAAAACAAGTTTTCATTCGAAGCGTTAATATTACTATTTTTCTTCGTTTCTTTGTTAATGTCTCCAGTTTTTAATTGTTAACGACATTAATTGATCGTTTCATTGATCATCAAAACAAAGTTCAAGATAAGAATTTGACGGGGAATGTTTCATGGACGATTGAAGGTTTATTAACGTGATTGGGTGAAAGAGGGTATTTGTTCAGTATCGAAGGAGGCTGTTATCGCGTCAGCCTCGAGATAACAGATAACTAAGGAGACTTGTAAATTGGAAAAAGATTATTGTTCTTAATTGCAGACATGTGCAAACGTCTCTGTACAAGCCCACCATGTGTCGCGGGCCAAACGAGGTCAGACATTGGGAAAATTGCGGGGGTTCCGAGGATGCACAGTGTGGCTCACTGGGCTGTCTGGTGCTGGAAAAACCTCGATAGCATTTCAGGTAAAAAAAATCACTCCAGGGCTTGAGCTATTTCCAACTAATGGAAAATTTTGTAGAAACGACTATTTAGCGCAATTCAGGAAACTGAGTGGCAAAAAGGTTTGACCCTTGAGGATGTTTGCAGCTGAGGGTCAAATGAGTGATCAGGGTCACTTGTTTCCAAGGGTCGTTTGCCCCTTAAGATAATAATAATTTGACCCTCAACCCCACGCGTCTTCAAGGGTCATTTGACCCTCAACTCCAAAAGTCCTCAAGGGACATTTGACTTTTTATTAATTTCTAGTTGAGGGTCAAACGGGTTAGAGCCGAGTAATTGCAAAGCGTCATCTGACCCTCAACCCCACACGTCCTCAAGGTTCATTTGACCCTCACGTCCAAACGTCCTCAAGGGTCATTTGACCCTCAGCCCGGACCGTCGTTAACGTTCGTTTGACTCTCAGCCCCATTTGACCCTCAACTAAACCAAACGGTCATTTGACCCTCAACTCCAGACGTCCTCAAGGGTGTTTTGACGTTTTATTCATTTCTAATTGAGGGTCAAGCGGATTACAGCCGAGTAATTGCGAAGCGTTATTTGACCCTCAACCCCACACGTCCTCAAGGTTCATTTGACCCTCACCTCCAAACGTCCCCAAGGGTCATTTGACCCTCAACTAAACAAAAAAAATTTCCAAAACCAATCGACTGCTTAATCTCAGGTGGAAGCGATACTGGTAGAGCGTGGAATAGCCGCCTACGGCCTGGACGGTGACAACGTGCGAACCGGTCTGAACTCGAACCTGGGCTTCACCCGAGAGGACCGCCAGGAGAACATCCGCCGAGTGGCCGAGGTAGCCAAGCTCTTCGCGGACAGTGGTCAGATAGTCCTCTGCAGTTTCGTCTCCCCCTACGACGAGGACCGCCAGACAGCCCGGCGCATCCACAAGGACTTCGACCTCCCGTTCTTCGAGGTCTTCGTGGACACTCCCCTGAACGTCTGCGAGGCACGAGACACTAAAGGTCTCTACAAGAAGGCGCGTCAGGGGGCAATCAAGGGCTTCACTGGTATCGACCAGATGTACGAGCGTCCCCTGCACTCCGATCTCATCGTCACGACTGAGAACTGCACCCTGGAGGAGTCAGCGGCGATGGTGATTGATCTCCTGGAGAGGAAGCACATTATTCCTGTCGCCCCGAAGGCTGACTCCCTCATTAAAGAGCTTTTCGTCCCGGAAGTGAGGATTGCCAGTGCCAAGGCGGAGGCGGAGACACTTTCCTCTGTTGACATCACGGAAATTGATGTCCAGTGGCTGCAAATACTTGCGGAGGGATGGGCTGCCCCGTTGACGGGGTTCATGAGGGAGGAGCAGTACCTTCAGGTGAGATTCCTGATTTTTTTCTTTTTTTCGAAAAAACAGGCCTGCCTTACTTTGGAAATATCTCGGAAAGGAGTGGGTTTAGAGGATTGTGTCGTAAGAGCTTTTTTGTAGCTCGTGAAATTTTCGATGAAAAAGGTCTTGTGACATTTTTTGATAAACCTGATAGCTTCCGAGATATTCGGATAATGACGCTGACTACTTCGTTTCTGAGATGATTACCAGCTTGCAATTTGTGTTCTTAGTTTTTTGGAAATAGCTCTGAACCTACGGGGTTTCGAGAAAAACATTGTAGGACATTTTTATAGCTTATGCAATTCTCTGGATAAAATATCTTCTGACATTTTCCTCTAAACTTCATAGTTATCGAATTATTGTTGAATTCATGGGAATTCTCCTGTTTCAGACTCAACATCTGAGATGTTTGATAGTAGATGGCAACGAGATTAACCAATCCGTCCCGATAGTCCTAGCAGTGACCACTGCCGACAGGAATAGATTGGAGGGACACTCAGCAGTGACACTGAGACACAAAAAAAATGCCCTGGCGATTTTGCGGAGACCGGAGTTCTACGCCCACAGGAAGGAGGAGAGATGCTGCAGGCAGTTTGGCACGAGTGACATGAGACATCCTTACGTGAGGATTATCCACGACTCCGGGGATTGGCTGATGGGAGGGGACGTTGAAGTGCTGGAGAGAATCAAGTGGAAGGACGGCTTGGACGACTACAGACTGACCCCTAATGAGATTAGGGAGCGCTGCAGGGCCATGAAGGCTGATGCTGTCTTCGCTTTTCAGTTGAGGAATCCTATTCATAATGGACATGCATTGCTCATGCAGGTAAATTTCAGCGACATTATTCATTATTTGGCTTGACTTTGAGATAGCGGAATTTTTAGAATACATTCACGTATGAAAAATTCAATAGAAAATCAGGCGAATTCGCTAGAATTTGAATTTTTCTCTTGAGATTTATTCTAAAAAAATGCTGAAGCATCAATTTTCCAAGTTTTAAAAAAATTGTTTCTGTAATGCAAAGCAAAACAAAATCTAGCGGAAAAAATGGGAAAATTTGTGTCCAATAATTTTAGTAGAAAAAAATCTCATATTGATCTTCATAAAAATTGCGTTATCCCCATTGATATTAGAGATGTTCAACAGAAAATGAACTATTGTTAAATTAGTGATTAAATATCTTTCTTCATTGATTCAATTTAGGACACGAGGCAACGTTTATTGGGAGAAAGAGGATTCAAGAATCCTGTTTTATTATTACATCCTCTGGGAGGATGGACCAAGGACGACGACGTACCCCTACCCACAAGAATGCTGCAGCATAAAGCAGTTCTCGAAGAGGGGATTCTGGATAAAAACTCCACACTCTTAGCAATATTTCCTAGTCCAATGATGTATGCTGGACCAGTTGAGGTACAACAATCTCCGAGTAACGTCTCCAATCATCGGAGTATAATTATCAACCAGATAAAAGGCTCATGGATGATTTTTCCAACAGGTTCAATGGCACGCGAAAGCGAGAATGAACGCAGGTGCCAATTTCTACATAGTAGGAAGAGATCCTGCTGGCATTCCTCATCCCAACAAGGACTCAACCCCAGATGGAAATCTTTACGACCCAACGCATGGGGCTAGAGTCCTGTCAATGGCCAGGGGACTCCAGAATCTTGAAATAATTCCGTTCAAAGTTGCGGCTTATGACACGAAAAATAAGAAAATGGACTTTTTCGATTCAGAAAGGAAGCAGGACTTTGATTTCATCTCTGGAACGAGAATGAGAGGTACTTGAAATACTTCATACCCTTCCTCTCTCAAAGTATCCATTTCTTGTATGTTATTTATTTTTCCTAAATTTTTTATTTTCTAGAGGGAAGAATTTCGATTAGTTTTTTACTGTTGATAATTGTTGAGGGAGTGGACTCAAAGTGATAACATGCTCATCTTCTGGAGCAATTTGACATTGAAAAAATGAATACTTCTCTTAAGAGAATGGATATTTGGCAAAAATAATTTTTTTTCAGAGAGGTCTTGAGAGGGTCTGAACGTATAATCATTTGACAGAACGAAATGATACGCAAAAATGTGATAACAGTTCAGTTGATGATAGTACTATGACGTGAAATAATAAAAGAAGAGAATAGTGAAATTCTTATTTATAAAAAAAATGCAATTATCCACTTGTTTTTTTTTCAGCACTAGCTAGAGCAGGCCAAGTACCACCGGATGGTTTCATGGCGCCGAAAGCATGGCAGGTCCTCGTGAACTATTACCAAGATGGAGAGCAACATTAACGAAGCATAATCCCCTCAATTTTAATACAATTCGACGAATAAATTAAATGAATTCAAGAGTGAAGTGTGAAATGTAACAAATTTTTTTTACACATTATTGAACATCAAATTATCTTGATACCGAATGATTTCAGGAGAAAATGTCCCATACATTTTTTGTGGGAAATTTCATGAGCTGCAAAAAAGATCTTGTGACTTTTTCTCCTGGGATGAGTCAGTCCCGAGATAAATCGAAAAAACGAAAACGTTCGATTCAATTTTTTTACGTTTTACCACTTCACTGCATAATTATCAGCTGCAAAGCATTTTAATCAATTATAACATTCCAAAACTGTACATACCGACAACCCGGCAATATCCCCCAGAATCTTGACCTTCATACAGTGGTACAATGCAATATCAAATATTATTTTTAAAAAGAGGGATTTATATATTTTATAGAATTTGATATATTATCAAAAAAATTATTTTGTCTTTGACTGGTAATTGAAAAATCATGTGACGTTAAGTATTTATTACACCGACATGTGCCCGGAGTGAATAATTACCTGAGAGAAGAATAAGTGGATTAAATGAAGAGAAAAAAATTATTGAGAAAACAAATTATTTAATTTAATTGTCATTCAGAAGTTGAAGTGTTGATTTGTGACAAGACGATTTAATTTTTTGAAAAAGTGATATTCGTCTCGTCATCACTTGGCTCTTCCCTTCAATTCTGTTCATTATTAATTGAATATTGAAAATATATCACTAGAGAAAGAAAATCTACAATAAAAAGGCACTTACGATATTTAAAATATTTTATTACCGTAGTAAAGTGTTAAAGTACACATTAATAATTAAACGATACTTGACAAAAATAGAATACCCTCATCATATTTTTTCAATATACATCCACTCCAACAATATTCCCGTCACTGTATGTATTTACCATACGTTCTAATATATTTAAACCTAAAGAATGACTGAAATACAAGCTTATTGTACTTTGACAGCAATCAATTGTAGTCTACCCCAACAATTTTCTTCTTTTACAAACCAAATAATGTCAATATCACCCTAATAAAAGATACAACTATCTTATTTCATAATGAACTCCATGAAATAAGATGAGGAAACATAAGATCAATTCATCAAATAAAGCAATATTTCTCCTTCCGAATGAGGCAAATATGTGCAAAAAATAAAATATTGAACTAAACTCGATTATCAACCCTGCCAAGAAGCCTTGGCCTTCTCCCCCCCCCCCGTTATCGATTGAATTAACGACCAATCAATCACCAACTCCTCAACAACCCGAGACTTCCTGCCTACCCATCATCATACATGATAGACGCAGTAGCAAGATTGACCTCAGTCCCCCCCTCCGACAGATCCGGCAACGAAAGCATCACAGGAATGACCTGAATCTTGCCATCATCATCCTGCTGCTGGATATGCACGACCGTCCCAGTCTGCAGGATCTGACTGGTCATGATCTCATCTGTAATCATCTCAGCCCCCTCAATATTCTCAGCCGTCACCTCTTCCGTGTACACAGTGGCGTCCTCCATGCTCATAATAACCTCAGCAGCCTCCGAAGCCTCCCTGGAGGTCTCCTCGTACTCCTGTGCATACTCCCCTTCAATCTCCTGAGCCTCAAATTTGACAATCTGCTCTTCAGTGTCGAACTCCTCGCCCTCCTCGAACTCCTCCTCACCAAGTTCTCCCTCGATCTCATAGTTTTCCTGATCCATCTCCAGTTCAATCTCCTGCTCCTGCTCCTCCGAAGTGTCACCCTCCCCCTCGGCCTCCCCCTCGCCCTCGCCCTCACCCTTCTTCGCATTCCTCCCGCTGACAATCCTCTTGAAGCCAGACCCTCCCAAGCTCTCATGCCTCCTCTCATGCTTGTTCTTATCCCCAAGATACTTGAACCGTTGCTTACAAACAATGCAAGAGTAGGGTCGCTCATTGGTGTGAGTCCTCTCATGGCACACGAGAGCGGAGACCTGTTTACACCTCCAAGGGCAGTACCTGCATTGCAGAGGTCGTTCATCGCTGTGTCTGTTCTGATGATGCTTGATCAGTTGTATCTTGGTCTTGAGATTGAACCCACAGATCTCACAGGTGAATGGTCTGTCCTCAGAGTGCGATATCATATGCGTCTTAAGTCTCAGTTGATTGACAAAACGCTTCGGACAGTGGGGACAGGTGAGGGTGCCCTCCAGCCTGTTGTGCGTCACCATCATGTGGTGCCTGAGCCTGACCTCCGAGGTGAAAGTCTCCTCGCAATCCAGACACTTGACCGGGTTCTTCTCCATATGCGTATTCTTGATATGCGTCCTCAGTATCATCTCCGTCTTAAAAGTCTTCAAGCAGTGATTGCAAGTCACTCGCTTCTTCTCACCAGGCGTGTCCCCCTCCTCCTTGGAGATCCCCGGCGTCGTCTGATTGTGAATATGCGACATGTGCCAGTCCAGCGATCTCGTCGACAGCATCGACCTGTTGCAAATCTGGCAGGTGTACTGCTTGCCATCCTTGTGCACCCTGTTCCTGTGTATCACCAGCATCGAGTGATTGGGAAACTTCTCCGAGCATATCTGGCAGGAGCACTCCTTCAACGCCCTGCTGTCCGTCTTCTGGTGGACCCTCATGTGCAGCCGCAGGCCGTCCCTCCTGTTGAAGCCCACCCCGCAGGTGTCGCAGCGGTGCTGCCTCTGGTCCTCGTGGATCCTCACGTGCTGCTTCAGCGTCGATGTGTTCTTAAACATCTTATCGCAATGCGGACACTGAATGGTATAAGCCTTGTGCGTGTACATGTGCTTCGACAGACTGTAGAAAGGCACCAGCTTGTGGCACACAGGGCACTCCCTCTTGTTGCCATTGGGCTGATGCTTCCTGATCCTGTGGTGTCTCAACGACGCTGGATTCTTGAAGTCCGCCCCACAATCCTCACACAAGTACGCCCTCATCGTCGTGTGCACCGACTTCAGGTGAAAGCTCAACTTCTGTTTGAAGGCGAATTTCTTCTCGCACTTTGGACACGGGAAGATCTTCTCCCAGCTCATGTGCTGGGTCTTGATGTGCTGGTCCAGGGTCCCCTGGTGCTTGAACTTCTCCCCGCAGATGTCGCAGAGCTGTCCATAGATGGCGTCGCAGTGCTTCTGCTCGTGCTGCCTCTTCTTACCCCTCGACTCCAGCATCAGGTCGCAGTACTTGCAGATGAGCTTCTTAATGCACGTGACATTGTGAGACCTTTTGGATTTATTACTGTAGAACTCCTCGCCGCAGTCCTCGCAGAAGTAGTTGATCTTGTAGTCGTGTGTCTTGAGATGATCCTCGAGAGCGTCACGAGAGGAGAACGTCTGGATGCAGTAGTCGCAGTCGAACAAGTCGACCTCCATCAGTCCATCAGCAGGCATCTGGTCGTCAATGAGATCGGGGAACTTCTTCTTGGCATCAGCTGTGCTCCTCCCCTCGTACAACGATATTATGTCCTCGTCCTTGAGCCTCGTTATTACGATCTTCCTCTGTCTCAGGTACTCCTGAAAATTCTGCAGGTTCTTCTCCCTCTCCCCCAGAATCCTAGTCAACTTCTCCAGGTTGCACTCCGTGTAGGAGGCGTTGAGCTGCTCCTGCAGGGCCGCCTTCTTCGCCTTCGCCTCCTCCCACTTGCGCTTCAGCCTCGCAAATTTCGCCAGATACTCCTTCGTCGACAACGGACGATTCTCCTCTGTGTCAGTGATACCGTACGTCCTGAACGTGATCTTCTCCCTGGACTCGCTGTCACTGGACTCCCGTCTCATCTCGTCTGTCTCAGCGAGACTCTGCACTGGATTTACAAACCTCACAGTTCCATCCTCGAACTTGAGGGCATTCGGGATACCCGCTGTGCCCCCCAGTATCTGCTCTCGCTTCTTCTTGTACTGCTCAATCTGCTGTTCGATTATTCTAGAGTTCTGCAACTTGGCCACTGTCTCCGGGGATTGGACAGGCGGTGTCTTCAGGACCTTGTCAACTGGCTTCAGGGGCTTCTTCAGAATTATCGGTTTGCTCTCTTCCTTTTTGTCGCCATTCTTCTCCATCTTCTTGACTTTAACGAGAAGAAGTTCGTTGGGCTTTGGTCCCTTCACAGTCACGTACATTACGCCGTCTTCACCCGAGGGGGACACGTTCAGGGGGCTTCCCATCAACTTCTGCAGCTTTGGATCCTTGACGGTTTTCTTCAGGGAATCCGACTCCGAGTTGCTTTGCGAGTCCAGTGAATCCCTCCCTGAACTGGCTTTTCTCTTCAAAACCTTCTTGGAGGGGTCTGAGTCCCTCTCCTCGCTCTTTATCGATTTTTTCTTTTGGTCTTCTAGCTCCTCGAGGTCAGCTGCTGGCGGCAGGGAGGGAGACTCTACTTTTATGTACGTGTTCAGAGCTGTGTCGTATTGGTATACTGTCTCGCACTTTGACTGGGGTTTAAGGGGGCCTGGTGTTGGAGGCTTTCGAGGTGGTTCAGGGCTCCTTGGGGCTTCGGATTCCTCTGGGGCTTCCTCGGGCGGCTCCAGGAGGTCGTTGTCCATGGAGGAGTCCTCGGGGTCGAATTCCTCGAGGGATTCGTTGTCAGAGGCTGGGGCAGGGGAGGCAGGGCCTGGAGGAGTTGGTGGATCAGTGGGTACCTCAACAGGGGGATCTTTAGGTACCTCAGCAGGGGGATCCTTAGGTACCTCAGCAGGGGGATCCTTAGGTACCTCAGCAGGGGGATCCTTAGGTACCTCAGCAGGTGGATCCTTCGGTACCTCGACAGGTGGATCACTGGGTAATTGAACAGGTTCACTGACTGGTTTAGTTGCCTCAACTGGCTTGATTAGTTGAATTTTGATTGGTTCAACTGGAATCTTCTTCTTTGGACTGTCAGGAATTGTTATGATCCTCGACTTCTCTTCACTCACGGGGATGCTCACCAGGGACTTGAGCTTGATCTGCGCCTTCTTTATCTGCATGAAGAATTTGTAGCTCATCTTCAGGTCGCAGATGCAGTCCATGCACATCTGGGTGGAGAGGCCGTCGTGCTGGTTGATCTCCTCCAGGTGCTTCATCTGCTGATTCAGGCGCATCTGGAGGCCCTTCTCCCCGAAGATGTCGACCAGGGGGATCTTCAAGCCTGCACAGGTGCGGCAGTAGTTCCTGAGCTGCTCTCTGGTGTCGGGTGGGCCCTGCGAGGGCTTCGAGAGCTCGTTCAGGGATTTTACCTCTGGGGGGAAGAGCCTCACCTTGGGGGTGACTCTCTTCAGGTCGTTCAGGGTTTTCACTTGCGGCGGGGGCTTACCCGTGGAGGGCTGCGTGTCGCTGTAGTTGTGTTCAACTTTGGCTGGGGGAGATGAGGCGGAAACTGGCGCTGAACGCTTGTAGGTGTACTTCACCGCTGGCATGGCATCTGGGGAGGGAAGGTGCAGTTAGCTTTGGCGGTGGTTGGGGATATGGTTTTCAGTTGAGCTTTTGGGAGATTTTAAGTTGATAAATTTCTTTTCGATCATTGAAATATGCTTTTTGGGCCAAATGAAGACATTTTCATGGTGATGTGGGTTTCTACTTCTGTAGTCCAACGTCAGAGCTTTCATTTGAGCCACATTTGACCTCATGTTCCCGGACATTTTAATGAGTTTATTATTTAAACCCTAATAGAAAAAAAATTGGGGAAATTTAAGGCCCGGGATTATCTTTCAAACGTGATCTTGTTTTTTTTTTATTTCGATGATCTGAATGATCTCTAATTCTCTGAACGTAAAATTGAATATAAAGATATATTTAGATCAAGAAACATTTACCACACACAGAGAAAGAGTTTACTTCCATAAAATGAGTAGACTTTTAATGAAAAAATAAATTTCTTCCTCCAAATAAAAATATTGTCATTAAAATGCAGGTCAACTTATAAATTCTGAACAGAAAAATTGCTGAATTTCATAGAAAAATACGAAATAAAAAATTCTATTCAATCAAACAAAAAGCTTCAATTTTCTAGGAGTAAATTCGAATATAAAGATATATATCTAGCTCCGGAAACATTTATTACACCCAGACACCAAGTGTATTTGCATCAAGTGGGTAGTTTTTTAAATTATATATTTTTTAATCACAAAAATCATAAAAATTGGTTCCTTGCACCAAGCAAAAACCTCTTCCCCAAATTACACGTCAACTTATTAATTCTCAACAGAAAAATTGTCGAAATGACAAGCAAAGCGTCAATTCTGTCTGTAAAATCAATCATAAATACATATTTACCTCCAAAAATATTTCCACAGTCCTCCTTACTCCTCCTCGCTTCCCCCTTAGCCCCGCCAATTTCTACATTATCATCGAAGGAATAAATCACACATTTCCCAGTCTCCTCCCTCGAATTTTCATTATTCTTGTCACCAATAAATATCGTAGTCCCAGTTTGGTCACTCATGTTCCTCGGCGAATGGGGTTAATTCAAACCACTCGTACGTTATCACAACTGGAGAAAAAACCCCCCGAACCCCGGGGTATTTTCCGAAATCCCTCGTAATCAGGGCCTCAATCGTCGCTTTTGATTTTCGCGTGTGACCCAAAACATGTCTGTTATTTTGAAAAAAAGTATCTTTGATCACGTATCAAGCCCATAGATGTGAAATAGAGGAATTAGGTGGCTCACTATACAGATGGCGCGTATCCCAAATGGGCTCTTGTACATTTTCGTGGTCTCAGCATGTTTCGAACGACTTTCTACACACCGTCTGCCAATTCATGACTTGCCCATTGAATAAAGAGAATGTAACACTGGGAAGGTGATGGGACAACGTGGAGGCAGTCGTTGGAGGGTTTTCGGGGGGGAATTAAGCACTAGAGGGGTTTTGCTTGGGAGATTTTGAGGTTTTTGGGGGTATCGAGGGTTTTGGCTTCGTCCACTGGGATTTCAGACACGCTTTTGATCGAGAGACGCGTCGCGTCGTTAAGATGGCGGGCGGTGGGACGGTCATTTGCGCGACGGCGGCTTGGGGGCGAGTTTTGGGGCCGTTTTGAGCGGTTTCTGGGGGGAAATGGGATTCGTAAATTTTTTCGAGGGCTTTTGGGGGCTTGAGGGGATTTTTGAGAAATTTTTTTCGTGGGCATGTCGGGGAGTGACGTCACAGGTGATGGACCAATGGACATCGAGGAGAGTTTGGAGGGAAAAAATGATGGAACGAGCGGGAATTTTGAACGGTTGCTCATGGAGTTGATGATTTGCTCATTGAATAAAGAGAATGTAACACTGAGATGATGATGGGACAATGTGGGGGCAGTCGGGGGAGGGTTTTCTGGGTACTAGAGGGGTTTTGCTGGGAGATTTCAATATAGCAATGTATTTAATTTGACCCTGTCATTATCTTTGTGCTGTTGGGTCTACAAACAATGAATAAATTAATAAATTAATTCCGGGGTTGTTAGGGATAGTTTGACTTTTTTCATGTGCGTTGGTCAGATTATATTAATTCGAGATTTTTGTGGATTGTGTAATTATCTCCTTGAGCAGACCTCAAACAACATTTTTATGAAAAATTTTGTAATCCACAAAAAATGTCCTTTGACACGTTCTCCTAATCCCATAATTACACATTTAAAAAAAAGCTTTTCATCATCTCGGTAATCAATGATTTCATGAGAAAATGTCGGAAAATACTCTCGCAGAGAATTTCATAGGCTACAAAAAAGTTTTATGCCACTCTCCAGCAAAATGAACAAACTGAATCATTCTGTCACGAGCATTCGTCACTGCACTTTTAGATTAGCAAAATTCCGACTGGATCATCCCCAAGAACCCTGGGGCTGACCTCCGTTCGACAAAGTCTGGCTAATCAACAATTAAATAAACAAAAACATGCAGTTTCATCGCAAAAACAAACATCCACTCACCCTCCGCCAAGCCCCTGCGCCATAACCTCCTCGAACCTCTGCTAATCTCACCAATAAACCCCCCGGCACTGCCCCCACACACCCACCTCACTCATCACTCCACAATTAACAATTAATTCCACAATAAAAACCGATCCGCGACGTTTGTTCCACTCAAACTCACTGGACTCACGTAAGCCGGCAGCTCCCGCCAATTCATCTTCGACAATGGCGACCACTTCCCCCACCCCTTCCGCTAAACTCGGGCAACTATTAAAAAAAAAAAAAAGAAAAAAGAAAAATATATGAATAAAAATTTAAAAAAAAAGTTCAAGTAAAAGAATAACGAGTGTAGGATAAACTTGATTAATTCATAAGAATAAAATTCAGAAATAGTTGAAAAGACTGTTTTACCAACAATTGGTTATAGAATACGTAGTTTTTAAAAATCAAACGAAAGAACGGGAAATTTGAGTTGTAGAATTGCTATAATTGCTATTGCTATACGAAAAATGAAGAAATGATTTCAAATAAGTTGGAATAAGTTGTATAAGGAAATAAAATTCTATTGATTTTTTCTGTAGAATATTTTCCTTTGGACCTTCTTTTATAGAAAAAATTGGTAGAATTTCAGCATTCTATACAACTTTGTCTATTGATATGTTCAATGGAAAATATTCTATAGAAAAAGTCAACAGAATTTAATTTTCGTGCAGAAGTTTTTCCGCTCGAATTTACCAACTTTGTTTGTTTGATTTTCTTGATGAGAAGAGAAGAAAAATAGAATGAAAAAAAACTTCGAAAATTTGAGCCGAGGAGATTCTATAGAAAATATCTCAATAAAATAGGCTTTATTAAAAAATCGAATTCTATTGACTTTTTCGATAGGATATTTTCTATTGAACATTTCAATAGAAACGGCCAAAAACTAATAGAAAGTTCAATAGAAATCCAATCGAATTTTCTAGCGAATTCGCTAGGTTTTTACTAGGAGTTACTTTTTGCTCTACTGGCAAACTTCAGGATCATAAAATTTCTGTTTTACCAACAATAAATAATAAAATACGCCATCTTTAACCCAACCAAAAATTATCCATCCTAAGCACGGTATTATTCCACGTTAGAATCCACTCGATAATCCCATCTCACGGTTTATTTCCGATAAAAAAAATTCCATGAAGTGAAAAAAATAATTCCAGTTGAGGGCGAAAAATCAGTTGAAGTTAATAGTGCCGTATACATGGTGACAGCAATAATAAATTGTTGATTATTGTATTAACTAGAGAAAGTTGTTAGTGAGTAATAATGATTCTGCTGGAGATTAACAATAGGATACTAGAAGAGACATTACAAACAAAAATAAAAAATACATTATCGGGGTGAGTACGGTATTTTTCGCTCGATTATTTCCCCATTTTCTTTATTTCGTTTGAGTACTGGACGATTTTGGGGGGCATTTTGGAGTCCGTCGAGTGCCTGGGATATCATTTTTCCGGCTGGGCGTTGTCTGATTTTTTTTTATCGTTCAACTCCGGAGTTTGTTGTTTAAATGTGTCATCGGGGCTCGCAAACTGCTGGGGATGACTAATTTCGTATCAGCGGGACGTGGCTGCGGTTGGAATCGGGGGGACAACTGACGTTAGATTGAGGACTTGAGAGGGGTTTAACCTCAATCCACTGGGCACGAACCGGTTCAATCCATGAGGAGTAGCAAATATTTTATTTTCAATATTTGCAATTATCTTTTTTCAAAATTCAAATGACAACAGGTTGGCCTGAGCGGTCTTCAGCAATTTTATAAATTTAGAAATGAAGTTGAAAAGAGTTGGAAAAAGTTCTTACTTGATTTTAAAAACCACAAAAATTTATGATTCCTGAAAATAGGAATAAATGGTAATTTTTTAAACTTAAGTGTAGAGTTTTTCAAATGTTGTTTGTTAGAAATTAGTTTTGTTTTTTTCCTCTGAAATACTTCTTTCTTCTCAATCGCCTTCGCATGCACTATTTATATTTCCTGACAATAAAATCATTCTACGAGTTATTGACATGATTTATAATTCAATCAATCCAAAAAAGTACAAAAGTTCACAATAATTTCATATCTTTCTCAGATTAAACTAGATTCCTCTGACCCCCTCCCCCCTATTGATAATAAATTAATGATTTTATCAAAGCTCAAGAGGATATGAGACTCGCGCAGATTTTAATCATGAAACTTGAGTTATCCCCGAATTAAATAAGAGTTGAGAACAATTGCAGAGATCATTTCCAGGCCCAACAGTTGATTCCAATTTTATTTATTAATTCATTCGATTTTGATTGTTTGATTTGATGATTCTGCAGACATAAACCCGAGTCTACAGATGTCATAATAGCTGACTTCGATGGAGCTCTGTTCCACATGTCCAATCCCAATGGGGATAAGTCAAAACTTAGGGTGAGTATCCCTGAATAATTGTATTCTGTGAAGAGTCCAATGGAGTTTATGGGTTTTCCTGGGTTTCAGATAAGTATTTCGCTCAAATTCTATGGGCAACTGAGAGAATACGGGGCTGATGACTTGCTCAAACGTGAATATGGGGCTTATCTAGTGGAGCCAGAGTCAGGTAAATTCATTTTACTTTACTTTTTTCACTTATTGAGATCCAAAAATTCATCAAGACATTTTTTTTATTTCATTAATTTAAGAAAAGTCTCGATGCTTTTTCCTGAAGCTATTTTCAACTCTTGATTTCCTCCAGACTAACTTCATGATTTTTTTTTATTGTTTAAACTGCGAAAATCCACAAATTTCAAATTTTCTAGGAGTGTGGTTCTTTCCGACTTCATGCTTTTTCTTTTTTTCCCTCCAGGATACAATGTTTCTGTGCAAGTAGACTTGGAAAATTTACCGGAGGACTGGGAGTCACTCGTTAAGAAAGTTGGTCTTCTCAAGAGGCACTGCTTCGCAAGTGTCTTCGAAAAATACTTCGATTTCCAGGAGAAATACGTTGACAATCCAGAGCAGTGTCCGAAGAGGGCAGTTATTCACTATCGAGACCAGGAAACAATGTAAACCCCAAGACAGTGCCCCTAACAGTGCCCCCAGCAGTTGATGATTTTATTCTTGGGATTAATTTTCATTTTTTCATTGCAGATATGTCGAGGCAAAGAGTGACCGTGTCACAGTGGTCTTCAGCACGATATTCAAAGACGAGGATGACATGGTAATTGGGAAAATGTTTCTGCAGGAATTGAAGGAGGGGAGGAGAGCCAGTCATACGGCGCCTCAGGTACTTTTCAATCATCGAGAACCACCCATTGAGCTTCAAGACTGTGATGCCGCGGTTGGAGACAGTATTGGATACGTAACATTTGGTAAATCATTTCAATTTCAATTTCAAACAAATCTTGAAACAAAATAGAGTTCTAGAGAAAAATATCAAGAGTTTTTTTTGTACAATTAAATTTTCGATTAATTATTAAAATGGTAAATAATTAATTCAAGATTCTCCAGTAATAAATTCATATTCTCCAAAATATCAACTGAATCTCTATTAATTCAACAAACAATTTGATTGATTTACTCGTTTAATTAACAAACTAAATTCATTCATTAAATTCCAGTTCTCTTCCCAAGACATACGAACAGAGAATGCCGAGACAACACGATCGATCTAATCCACATGTTCAGAAACTACCTGCATTACCACATCAAATGCAGTAAGGTATACATTCACTCTCGAATGCGAACTAAAACCACTGACTTCCTGAAGGTCCTCAATCGTGCGAGATCAGCGTCAAAGAGCACCGAGAAGAAAACAATAACGGGTCGAACATTCATAAGAAAGGAGTGAAAATCTCCAACAGTGAGGCAATCTGAATCGACTAAACAAAAACTGCTGAATTAATTGTAAAACCTGGAGATTGAGGTGAAGTTCGTCTGGCATTTGGGAGGATTTAGCCAGCTGGGGGCACATGATGTGCCCCCAGTGGAAGGATCTATCTTGTTATTCGAGAGAATATATTGTCGAGTGGGTCATAGGAACTAGGCTAAGGGAAGAATCAATTTTACTCAGAAAATTTTCAAAATAACAGAACGTTAGGACATTCGACATTTTCAACGATACAGGCACTATTCTTTAATTTCCTTCGATTACGATTTTTTCACTCACACATTCACATCGTGTACTTACGTTGAGGGAACACAGGAGTCATGTGTAATTGGAGATAACGCTGAATTCATTATTTCGAGGATAAATAATCAAAAATTAATTTTAATTTCGTCTATTTTGTGGTGAAGTGATGAAAATTAAAAAATCATTCTTGGTTTTCTGGATTTATCTCGAGAGGGAGTGGCTTTCGGGGAAAATGTGATAAGAAATTTTTTTTAGAAAATTGAATTTCGCACAAAAAATGTCCTATCACTTTTTCTTATAGAATACTTCGTTGTGGAGATAAGCCTGCTTTAATGAAAGGGGAGTTGATTTCATCACTTCGTTAACGAATTAGAAAACTTGAGAGGCTGAACCACTAGTGCCAGATGATTGTCATTAAATTAGTCAAGAACTTTTTTACACCGAACGTTTAAAGACTCCTCTTATTGTCCATCAGTATTGTCAAATGCATTTCAATGAAGCAATCCAATCCCATTGATATACTCAATATTATTTAAACGTATTCTGTTGTTGTGCGATGGAATACAGCTGGCTTCCACTCCTGTATCGTGATGAAATGAATGTAATAACGGGTTCGAATTTAATTGTAATAAGATTCTTAAAACACTTTTAACTGGATACTAAGAGCTATGAGGGTAATGAGTGAGTTAATACGAGATAGACCTTGTTAACGAAGTGACACAATTTTATGTCATAGCCACGAACCATAGAATATTGTTTTTGTAACAAATGAGTATTTTTATTTCCAATCTTTACTTATTATAAGATAATAAAAAAGGATTAAAACATTTTTCGTGATATTAATCATTCGAATTTCCCTATTTTTAGATCGAAACGATGGATTTGTCGAGGTGAAATGAGGAATTGTTTTCTTACAAATTCGTTAAATCAGGAAATAACGGTTAATTATGCATTTATCTCGAGGGGGACTCATCCTGGGGGAAAATGGCATAAGACCTTTGTTGCGGAGGAGAAAATTTCCCACAAAATTGTCCTTTGACATTTTCTTCTGCGATGTCTCTGGTCGGAAATAATCATTTCTTAAGTATTGTGTTCTACTTCACAAAGAAATTAATGCTGTATTGATCAATTTTTCAATTAGGTAATGATGAAAAATGGAAGATTATCGATCAGTTTGATTTCGTGACGATGATGGAGGCTAAATGTGGAAAAAAAATTGGGTGTGTCGGTGGGAATAATTCGTCGGGCCACACCTAGGTCTCAGCGTGAAAGCAAAAACGATTTTCTACATTTCCAGTTGTTTTTTAGCGACCCACAAACCCACAGCCGCAACCGACAGTCCTAATAATCCCTCATCTCCAGCAAAATAAAACATTGAAAAAGGAAAAAAAAATTGTCGAAATGGAGTGAAATTAATTGAGCTGAGATGGACTCGACGACGGTTTCACAGACGATTCCAGACCCATCGACGCCCCCCTGCAGCCCGGAGGAAGTGGCTGCTAATATCAGAGACTGTGGGGAGGGCGAAGTGGAGAAGTGGCTCGAGGACGAGGCCCTCGGTGGATTCAGGGTCTGGCAGCTTGCTGCTGTCGTTATCTCCATTTTTCTCACTCTTGTCATCGGCCTCTGCTGCTGCATCAGGTTCAGAGTACCTCGGACTAAGCAGAATATCGAGGCTGACTACGTCAGAAAGAAGTTGACGAAGAACTTTAGGAGGGAATTGTCCAAGATTAGTAATGGAGAGATGGACGAAATGGATTTACGAAAAGGTAATTCACGAAAAATCACGATTTTTTGCTGTTTGGGGTAAAAATGATATTTTTAATCGAAGATATCTCAGAATTGGTTGAGAGAAATCCAAAAAACATTGTACTCTCATCATTATCATCACAGATATTGAAAATTGAAGGAAGGAAACAAATTGAGAAAATGAAACAAAGTAGATTTATTAAAATTGAACCCCGAGAAAAATTTTTTCCTGAAAAAAAAATGTCCTCCACCAACATGATCCGCAGAATTTTCTTTCTGCCTCAAAATTATTAAATTTTTTATCTTCAAAGTGAAATTTTAAAAAATCATTAGAACCCAAACGAAATGTTTTCCTCCTAAAAACCCGTCTTTACCACCAAAGTGATCACAATAATTTCGTTTCTACCTCGAAAAGCCCTGGAGAAGGTGCAATCATCCCTAGACGTCCAGGAAGACGACCAAGAGCCAGTGACAATCGACAAGAGTCCGAAGCACCTGACCTGCGCCCTGAGCTTGATGTTCCACAGGATGAGAACTCGTCTATCAAAAACCCCAGAGCCCCACACCGTCATCTAGCATAACATCCACACTCCATCATTCTTACTATCTCAATTTCTCGTTTTATTGCTGTAAATATGATACATAAATTCGTTGATTCAGCATGCAACAGTTAATTCTACAGAATAATCTACAGATAATAATCTGTAATTCAGTAATTCAGTGGATGCAACGTGTCACCCACTCCCACAATATTTACCTTACTGTTTAAACCGAATTCATTTGCAGATGAAACGTAATTTATTTCCCTTCAGACATATAAATCATTCAATAAATAGACCATTTGATTGATGCAATTTGTATGCTTAATTAAAATAGTCATTTCTTCGATTTCAAAGGTTTTTTATCTCTAAAGGAATTACTTTCTACGAATTTACATAGATTTTCTCATTTTTTTTTTGTTTTATTTCATTTTTTCTCTAATAGAACTATTACTTATCTCTCGTACAGAAATATAAGGTACAGGTCTCTCATTTTTCGATTATTCTAGTGACACTAAAGAGTTTAATGAAAGAATTCTATATTTTTTAATCTCCTTTTAGGATTTAAAAAATCTTCTGAAGAGCTTTTTCTCTACGACATTCATAGATTTTTCCTTTTAATCGTGTGCGGTATGTCCGTTCGTAAGATCCAGGTAAAAATTTTCGTATTAAATAACTTTGATGTTAGATTCTATTAATTATTGGTTCAGCAATCAAGTGGTGAAACGTAAAAGAACAAATCGATTTTTTCCATTCTTCGAGCTTGAATTATCTCGATAACGAGCGGTTTCAGGGGAAATTCTCAAATACATTATTTACAGGGAATTTAATCTCCTGCAAATTGCTCGCAGAACACTTTCTCCTAGAATGACTCATTAACGAGATAATTGAGTAATTAACGAAATGCCGAAATCGACTCGTTTGTCTTTTTCAATTTTCTTCAATCGTTTCACCACTTATTTCCTTTTTTTTGATAATAATCTCTAGAGACTTATCGCAGAGAGACATAGTAATATTTTTATATCAATATATTCTGTATATATAATAGTATTTCTTCTTAGCATACATAACGCTCACAGAGAATAAAATTTGTATTTTTTTTGTTTTTTTGTATTTTTTTTTCTTAAAATTACACAGGAATGACTAATCAATCGCAGTTATTCCTGCATCGACTGAGATTATCCGCCTTCAATTACTCCCCAACGTAACAATTAATGAGTCTGAAGTGTTTGTTAAGAAAAAATGAGATAAATGAAAACAATAATTTTTCATTCTGCGCTCAGCACAATTCACAAATTCAATCATAATGTTCCTTTCATTTTTTTCTCTCCAATTGTTTTTTTTTTTGAGTTGATAATCAACTCTTTTAATAGATAGCTAATTAAGCACGTTGTTTATGCAATTAATTAAAATATTTTGCTGTTGGGGGTAATGTAAAGCGAATGAGAAAGGTACATCGAAATGCCTGATGCTGAAAGACAATATCATTTCTCTCGATAAAATCTACAATTTCACTACAAAAATTGTATCACGTACGATGACAATCACAAAGGGGATATAACAGGATTACAATCTATGATGTTATAATTGACATTAAGACAATAAAACACGTAAAATCAATTCATTAAAAACAGGATTGGTAACAGTTTTCGAGGAATAACTAGAAAATAGCAGAAGTGGATATCAAAATTATCGCGATACCCTCACAAAAAATTTCCTCATCTCTCTTAGACTCGAAAATATTTATCAAAAACAGAGACCTCAGAGATGAATTATACAGTGAAGTGGTAAAAATCGAATTATAATTTATCTCGGAGAGATGTGATTTAAGGGGAAATGTCAGAGGATTTTTTTTTGTAGAGAAATTTAATATTGAAAAAAATGTAAGAACGTCTGGAGTTGACGAAAAAATGGTCTTGAAGGTCAAACGACCGTCAGAACGAGTGATCCTCCAGCAAAAAGTCATAAATCTTTTTTAAAGCTGCCAAAATTTCCACCCAAAAATATCCCCCGACACTTTCCCCCAAAATCCCTTACCAAGATATAATCCGACAATTCCCCCTGAAACCATTCACTCATTCTTCCCCACCCCCAATCCTCTTTTACCACTTCACCATTTCCCTACCACCCCCCAAAAAAATAAAAAATATGCCAACCCCATAACAGCCCCCCTAGCACCATCTCCCCAAGCCAAAGCCTCCACCTCCTTAAGCGTGCCTTCACGATATCTTATTCCTCCACCACGAGAACTTCATCTTGGGGCTCAAGTACTGTAGACTAACCACCCCCTGAGGTATGAGCGAGAAAATGGGCAGGAAGCCCCCACAAGAGCTGTGACTGCACTTGGGCTCGTCCTCCCCCACCTCCAGATCCTTTCCCTTCCCAAAAGGCGTAGCGTAAGGATACTGCGTAGCCAAAGGATTACAAATAATGTGCACCCCCTCCTCCCTGACCTCGTCCTCCCTCTTCCTGACCCTTCCCTTGCCACTGCACCTGCCCATGGAGTTCCTCCTGACCTCACAACTAGAGCTCTTCAAAGACGCCTTTCTGTACACCTTGGACCTGGCCAGTGGCTTCTGAAACAACTGAGGCGACGACAACGACCTCTTGGACCTTATCTCCTCGTACCTCTCAGCGAAGCTCACCAAATCCGATATATTCCCATTATCAAACGTCATCCTCCCATTGTCATACCTCATCTTCCCCACTTTACAATTGTCTACCCCCAAACTTATCCTATCCTTATCTCTATCATTATCATTAGCATCAATGATTTTCGTCTCAGTCTTCAACGCTCCCTGCTTCAGAGATACTGCTGATTGTTTAGTGATTCCTGTGTTATCAAATTTCGATCTTAAATTAACTGATTGGGTATTGGTTAAAAGGGCCAGGGGATGGGTTGCCCCATCTGTGCTGCTGTTGACATGCAGCACAGACGGGCCATCAGTGAACCATCAGCTTGGGAATTTCGAGTAGAATGCACAAGTTAGGTCGTAATTCTTGAATCTGCAGTACTGCACGTCATTCCTCAGCCACTCACCATGGACATTCAGATAATCAGTTTGCTCGAGTTCACGTGGTATGTCAGCAGCAATGGACTCTTTATTAGCGAAAATTGTAACAACGAATTTGCCAGGCTTGAAGGTGTTGAGGACACGATTGATGACTTCTGTGTAGGATGTCTCCGGTATGTTGGACTCGAAGGAGACGTAGGAGAACTCGGGCTCCGGTGTTATGTGGATTGTCATGTAGTTGCCGGACTTTGAGACACCGTTCATGGAGTAGCCGCAGGGCTCGAAGAGAAAGTCATCGATCAGCATTGTGGGGATGAGCTTGTCGATGCCGGATTTTTGAGTGGCCTCGGACGCCGAGGAGCAGACGTCCCGGGTGAAGATGGACATTATGGAGGGATCGAGATTTGTCATGAGGATCTCGAGGGTCTGGTCGGGCTCGGGTGGGGTAGAGGCGGCGTGCTCGCGATTCAGAACGTAGAGGTACCAGCAGTCGGTGTCTGCGTCGCCCAGGCATAACGCCTCGCCGTCTGCAGGGTCAAGGGGGTCAAGGAGCAAATTATTTTTTTGCCGGAAGTTAGAGTTGTGTGATAACTCTGCTGTTGTTCTCACAGGGAGTGACGATTGATGGGGGCTGAAGCACCTGGAGAGGTTCAGGAAACTTTTTTTTTCGGCTGGGGGAGGGTGAGGGTCGAATGACTCTTGAGGGCGTTTGGAATTGCGGGTCAAAAGACCCTTAAGAACGTCTGAAATAGAGGATCAAATGGCCTTTGGCACGTCTGAAGTGGAAGGTCAAATGACCCTCGAGAACGTTTGGGGATGAGAGTTGTATGACCCTTCGGAGCGGCGGGAGTTGAGGGTCAAATGGCCCTTAAAGACGTTTGAAATTGTGCGTAAATTCGTTTTGAGAGTCAAAAGACCTTTAAAAATGACTGGAATTATACGTGAAATAGTTTTGAAGGTCAAATGACCCTTAAGGACATCTGGAGTTAAGGGCTCAATGGTCGTGAGGGCCAAATGACCCTTAAAGACGTTTGAAATTGTGCGTAAATTCGTTTTGAGAGTCAAAAGACCTTTAAAAATGGCTGGAATTATACGTGAAATAGTTTTGAGGGTCAAATGACCCTTAAGGACATCTGGAGTTAAGGGCTCAATGGTCGTGAGGGCCAAATGACCCTTAAAGACGTTTGGAATTGTGGGTCAAATGGTGTTGAAGGTCAAACGGCCCTTCCTGACGCTCAAGGCCATTTGACCCTCAACTAGTCAAAAAAAAAAGTTTCCTGAATTATGCTAAAAAGTTGTTTCTCCTGGTGTTTCATTTCTTTCCCAGATCACATTCGTCAATTTCAATACTATCCCTATTTACAAATTTTGTCTGTTCAACGGAAAGCATTTCTACCTTCTCAATCACCAAAAGAGTATTGAAAAAGCATTGAAAGAGTAAAGAATAAAAAAAAATGCATAAAAACAACCATAAACATATAATTACCCGGAAAAATAGTGTCCAACAGTGCAACCTCATCCTCAAAAGCCCGATGAGGTGAATTCTGTAGCTCCGGTCTCTTATAATTCTTCCTCGAGTAGAACAAATCCTAGAAGCAGTACAATCGAATTCATGAACAATCAAATCATTCAATCATCAAATCAAACGATTGAGAAAATAAAAAATGTGTGTCACCGTCGCGACAAACGTGAGAACATAGATATCAAAATCTTGGGATGTCGAGGGTGAGGGGAGTTGGTGGAGGTAGCTGATCAATAAACCAGGAGGATATGGCATCCGACGTACCACAGGTTCAACTTATATATAGAGCAACGTATCTCCTCCATGGACTAGGTCAAGTTATATAGCTCGGCACTTGTCAGCCTGAATAGAGCCGTGAAAATTTATCCACGATGTTGCCATCTTTTTTTTCTCGCTCTCTCATCTCCTGCCTCATTACTTTTTCTCTGAAGGTCAGAGGATCACGACCTTGGGGGAGGGGGTAAGGGTTCTCATGGAATTATTGAGAATTTACTCACTTCTACTTCGTCGAAGCCCGTGTACTCCTCCACTAGGTCTAGGAGGGGCTCCAGGCACTGCAGGGGTGTTGTCGTACCACATGTCTTGAGGATTAGTCGACGTTTTGCCACAAACATACTGCTCTCACTAAAAATCAAAGGAAATATCACGTCAATCGACTTTTAGGGATAATTTATTTGAGATTATCTCGGTTGTCAGTGGAGATACGACTGTGTGACGTCAGACCTTTTTTTAGGGGAATTTAATTCTCTGCAAAAATGGGTTCTGATGTTTTTCACGCAAAACCAGTTGTTAACGAGATAATTCAACGATTGATGATTGATAATTGGTGGATTTCAGTCGTGAAGTGGTGACGTCTTTGCTCGCTTCGTGATTATCTCGAAAATGGGTGGACATACGACAAAATGTGTCAATATCTTTTCCACAGGAAATTAAATTCTCTAGAGAAAATGTCTTGAGACATTTTATCGTAAAACCAAGCATTAACGAGATAACTGACCAGTTAATTGAAGTCAAGTCTGATCACTTCCTGACTGAATCTCCTATGATGAAAATGACTGGTAAATTATACTTATGGATGATTTTGTGATCAGGGACCTTCTTCCACTCCTCCATCTTCTCAATTATCTGTTTTTCGTTGTCAATCGAGATCTTCCTCTTTTTCAGAAACCAAAAAACTATAAATAACTTCTGGCGATGGCCTTTTCGTCACTACGTACTCTCTTTATTTTTAACTTAAATCTTAACTTTCTACACTGGGACCGCTGAGACGTCATCGTGACCTCGGTAAACGTGTCGTCATCAATGTTTTGGAAAAATGAATCAATGACGTGCACTTCCTGCTCCATCAACAATTCGACGAGCATTCGGATTAATGAGTAATTTTACCTCATTCGAGTCATTGTGTCTGAGTGCAGAAATAGCTGTGGGTTATCGCGACTAGATAACATGGGACATTGACCTGAGATGGTCCCAACTGTCTTCGAGAATGAGATAAGGAACACGTGACGACTTTGCACGGGGGACAACATCAGTGTCTGTATTGATTACACGTAGTGGATGAAATTTGTGAATAAGATCACACGTGACAAAAAATAGAAAAACCCAACGAATTCGATAAAAAAAAATTGTTAAAGTAGTTTATACATAACTTAAATTTTGAAGATGAAAGTCAGAAATAAATTCCAAACAGAAGTTGATAAGATTTAAAAAGTTCTGGTTGAGTTAGTGCTCAATTTCCAATCGAGTATTATTGATAATAATTAATTCAGAAGTGGCAAATAAAATTGAGTTTTCGGGATTAAAAAAAGAAATTAAAGAATGGTGCCTAATAAAAATTATTTTATAGAAAATGTCAAATAAAAACTCTTTTACAGAACAAAATATTGAAAATTTCATGGTTCAAATTCACCATTTTACGATAAAACCGCGGAAAAAATGAAAATAAGAGAGAAATTATCTCGAAAATATTTTCAGTGTGACAAAGTTCATGAAATTGTTTTTAATTTAAAATAGAAAAAAATGGAGAAATTGTCTCTAGCGGATTGCTTCACAGCGAAAATGCCAATGAAGGAAAGATAAATTTTTAATCATTTTATTCTGGTTAAGAAACTTCAAATGAACTTTGATTGCGTAATATTTAATCCCGAGGGGTTCGGATGATACAAATCGACTGCACGTGCACGACACATACTAATTCTAGTGATTTTAATGGAATGAGTATTTCCAATCATTCGATTGCATTGATTTCAGCGAATAATGGCGATTAGTTCAGCATTTCCCATTGTTTTTGTAGAATAAATTGAACGGAAGAGTTCGAAATTCTTCAAAACGTCTGAAGGCACTTGAAATAGTGCCAAAAATTGTTTCCGGATGCGTAAGACATGTGTATACCTGAGGGTATTGAGAAATAAGTGGGGAATATATAAAAAGTAATGCAATGATTGAGGGGAAGGTCGAAATTCACGTGATCGGTTTGTGGTTTGAGGATATTTGATGGAAATATTCTAGAAATTCAGGGTGATAACGACTAACTGATGAGGAAGCAATCAATAATGGATACTTTATCAATTTTGTTTTTATTGATAAGAGAATTTTTGAGTTGAGCTTTGAAAATGAGTCATTTTTATCTTGATTTGATGACTCGAGTCGCATGTAAAATTTTTATTACTGCATTTGGAAATTGGGGGAGAAACATTACACATTTATTCCTTCATTTCGATGTAAATTTTGGATTTTTCATGATATTTCGAAATAAAAAAACACGTATGCAATATTTTTTATCGAATGTTCGTGTTTGATTACTTTATTCAATGGAACACGAACATGTAATGTGAAGGTTGGGGATTCAAAGCCCGTCGTTAGATTATATCGGTTTCAAAAAATGAAAAATATTTGTTTTTTTGAAAAAAATGTAAAGCAATAAAATGGAAGTAATGAATTATAAAAATTGTTTTAGAAATATCTCATGCAATAACGCAATTATCGATTTATCTTAGTAACGAGGGGAAGTAGAGAAAAATGTCAAAAGTCATTTTTGTAGAGAATTTAATTTCCTACAAAAAAGTCTCGAAACATTTTTTTATAAATCCGGTAGCTTCGGAGATATGCACGAAATTAGATAGAGATTTCTGTCACTTTTTCTGTAGTTAATTATTTCATCATCTTTGGTAACGATTTAGAAATAAATGAAAAATTAATTCGTAGACAATTTTATCGACTGCAAAGAAGGTATTTCCGTTCTAAAATCACTCATTACCGACATAATTAATTAATTAACTAAAGAAGTAATCGAATAGCACTTCAATGTGAGAATTCATTATCGAAAATATATTGTTACTCCATTCCTAATCTCATATTCCGTGGACTTCCTTGTTGAAAAATCAAATAAAATGAGTCAATCTCACGTGAAAATTTGATGAATACGTGGAATGTTATCTTGAAAAAAAAACAACGATAGCAGATGAAAAATAACACCAACACCCGATGGACTTTGGATGCAGTTCCGAAAGCGATGATAACTTCCTCGGAAAATTTAGTTTTTTCTTAATTACTGTATTTGTACTGCTGTCACTGACGGTTCAATTAGCCCCTCGCAAGGTCAACGCTGGTTTGATTGATTTTTACGTGACGTCACGGTGGATAAGAATAGAAACCCATGCTGTTTAGCTAATAATAGGAGGTTTACGAGTTCATAATTTTCTATTTATTGAACTAAAGTTGTCGATAATTGCCCTCGGATTGGTCAACGAATGTCCCAACTGGATAAACGTTAATTGTGCGGTTTCAAATTCAAATGAATATGGGATCATCTTTGGGAGAAGTGAATTGACGTGAAAATTTCGCACTTTTTTGGGAATTTTCTCAACTCTAACCTTTTAAGGGCCATTTGACCTCAAATAAAACAAGAAAAACTTCTGAATTTTGCTAAACAGTTAATTTTCCTGGTTCAAGGAGACAATTAAGGAATCGAAATTGAGGGTTAAATAGTTTTGAGGGTCAAACGACCCCAAGGATGTTTGGAGTTGAAGGTCAAATTGCCTTAAGAGATAAACGACTCTTGAAGACGGCTAAGACTTCCGAGTCAAATGACCCTTTCTGATCAGTCTTCTCACAACCGTCTAGCCCTTAAGACCATTTGCCCCTCGACTCCAACCGTCTTAAGGATCATTTGACCTCAAATAAAACAAAAAAAACTTCTGAATTTTGCTAAATAGTTAATTTTCCTGGTTCAAGGAGACGATTAGGGAATCGAAATTGAGGGTTAAATAGTTTTGAGGGTCAAACGACCCCAAGGATGTTTGGAGCTGAAGGTCAAATTGCCTTAAGAGGTAAACGATTCTTGAAGACGGGTAGACTTCCGAGTCAAATGACCCTTTCTGATCAGTCTTCTCACAACCGTCTAGCCCTTAAGACCATTTGACCCTCGACTCCAACCGTCATAAGGGCCATTTGACCTCAAATAAAACAAAAAAAACTTCTGAATTTTGCTAAATAGTTAATTTTCCTGGTTCAAGGAGACGATTAGGGAATCGAAATTGAGGGTTAAATAGTTTTGAGGGTCAAACGACCCCAAGGATGTTTGGAGCTGAAGGTCAAATTGCCTTAAGAGGTAAACGACTCTTGAAGACGGGTAGACTTCCGAGTCAAATGACCCTTTCTGATCAGTCTTCTCACAACCGTCTAGTCCTTAAGACCATTTGACCCTCGACTCCAACCGTCATAAGGGCCATTTGACCTCAAATAAAACAAAAAAAACTTCTGAATTTTGCTAAATAGTTAATTTTCCTGGTTCAAGGAGACGATTAGGGAATCGAAATTGAGGGTTAAATAGTTTTGAGGGTCAAACGACCCCAAGGATGTTTGGAGCTGAAGGTCAAATTGCCTTAAGAGGTAAACGATTCTTGAAGACGGGTAGACTTCCGAGTCAAATGACCCTTTCTGATCAGTCTTCTCACAACCGTCTAGCCCTTAAGACCATTTGACCCTCGACTCCAACCGTCTTAAGGATCATTTGACCTCAAATAAAACAAACAAAGTTTTCTGAATTTCGCTAAATAGTTCATTTTCCTGGTTCAAGAGATGATTGGGGAGTCGAAATTGGGGGTTGTCAAATGGTCATGAAGGTCAAACGACCCCCAAGGGTCACAACACCCTTTTACCCTCAAAATCCCCAAAATCATGTTTCCCAACATAACTTCGACAATACGAAAATGCACTCCCCTACCGCCCCCCCCCCTAAAAAATCAAAATAAATATCTCATAAATTACCTTAGAACATATGCATCGATCTGATCATTCCTGCAGAAACTGATGATCTCACAGCGCACGATCTTGAGAAGACTCTCCCACTTGTGTCTGTAACGAAATCATAAAAGCCACATCAAGCTATCACCAATTGATCATTAAAGTTGAAGATACAGGGCTTGCATGTTATGCACACGTGTGAGTATAATATCAACTCGAGACATCGCTACTACGCTGTGTAGCCACAACGTCGGGGGAAAACTTGCGATTATCGATCACGAGAAGAGTGTCGGGTTCAAGCACGCCGGATACTTCATAAAAATTTTCCAACTATTCGTTCGTCACAATAATATCAGACATCAAATCGCTTGTAATTCGCTCACTTGGTGAGAGCTATCGGGTTTGTAGGTCAACTGATAGTAGAAGGAATGTGATAAAAGGCTTAATGATCAATTAAACGCGAGGATAAGACTCGGTAAAATGGTCATTGATTATTTTGCATTGAAAGATGGAAGACTCGAGCAGACAAATTAATTAATCAAAGTGCGTTTATGGTCGACAGTTTTACGAGGAAAAATCAGATTCCATAGCACTTTCCGTTACAATTAAACTTATGAAGTTTTTCAATTTTAGTGCAAACAGTGCAGGAATTATTGGTGGCTTTAATTGTTCGTCAATTATACAGTTGGAAGAATGACTGATTAATGGGAATCAACAGAAGAAGTTGTCTTGATAATGCGTTGTTCCGAGAACTGAATGGAAATTATAAGTTTTATGCGAAAATAAAGGAATTCATCTCGAAAAAAAAAAATTTGCTAATTAAGTATTTATGTGGACATGTCTCACCTAGGGTACCAAGCAATTCTTAAGGGTCGCAAGGGCCGAACAATGACATGACCAATCCTAAACGAATTTTCTCAAGACTTAGAAATATGCCTCCCCCCCTAGAATCTCCTAAATCTAGCTTCAACATCACATCACACCTAGGTTATGAGGCTATTTTAAAGGGTCACAAGGGTCAAACAATCACACGACCACTCCCAAAGAAATTTTCTCAGGACTTTTTGTCAGAAATATCCCCCCCCCCTGGAATTCCCTAAATCGAACCTTCCCCTAGCCCCATCTTCCCCCTATAGTACCAGACAATGGTTAGGGGTCAAACAAACATACGATTAAATTTCCTCCAATCCCACACGAATTTTCTCAGGACTTGGAAAATCCCCCCTAGAATTTCCTAAATTGAACCTTCCCCTAGCCTCACTTTCCCCTAGAGTATCAGACGATGTTTAAGGGTCAAACAAACATACGATTAAATTTCCTCCAATCCCGCACGAATTTTCTCACGACTTGGAAAATCCCCCCTAGAATTTCCTAAATTGATCCTTCTCCTAGTCTCACTTTCCCCTAGAGTACCAGACGATGTTTAAGGGTCAAACAAACATACGATTAAATTTCCTCCAATCCCGCACGAATTTTCTCACGACTTGGAAAATCCCCCCTAAAATTCCCTAAATCGAAGCTTCCCCTAGAGTGCCAGACGATGTTTAGGGGTCAAACAAACATACGATTAAATTTTTCTCCAATCCCGCACGAATTTTCTCACGACTTGGAAAATCCCCCCTAGAATTCCCTAAATCGAACCTTCCCTTAGCCCCATCTTCCCCCTATAGTATCAGACAATGTTTAGAGGTCAAACAAACATACGCTTAAATTTCCTCCAATCCCGCCCGAATTTTCTCACGACTTGGAAAATCCCCCCTAGAATTCCCTAAATCGAACCTTCCCCTAGCCTCACTTCCCCCTATAATACCAGACAATGTTTAGGGGTCAAACGAAAAATACGATTAAATTTCCTCCAATCCCGCACGAATTCTCTCACGACTTGGAAAATCCCCCCTAGAATTCCCTAAATCGAACCTTCCCCTAGCCTCACTGTCCCCTAGAGTACCAGACGATGTTTAAGGGTCAAACAAACATACGATCAAATTTCCGCCAATCCCGCACGAATTCTCTCACGACTTGGAAAATCCCCCCTAGAATTCCCTAAATCGAACCTTCCCCTAGCCTCACTGTCCCCTAGAGTACCAGACGATGTTTAAGGGTCAAACAAACATACGATCAAATTTCCGCCAATCCCGCACGAATTCTCTCACGACTTGGAAAATCCCCCCTAGAATTCCCTAAATCGAGCCTTCCCCAGGCGAATCTTCCCTTAGCACCAGCATCACATCCCACCTAGGTTATAAAGCTGAACCCACGTTTTCCCAGTCCCCAAACAATTGTTCACAATATTGTTGACTGAGAACTGTCGCCCCTAGACCCTCTCTCGTCCCTCACCTTCGAGTTGTATTGCGTCATAGCGAATTAAAGGGGGTGGACGAGTAATGAAAAAGACCGGGCGGTATCACCCACACCAGTTACCAGTCTCCAGTTACAAATCACCGCGAGGTAAATGACACGATAAACCAATTAATCAGCTATTATTTACCTGGGGATGTCCCTCAGGTCTCGTTTTCTGTCCTGTCCATCAGTACTTGTGAACCATATCTCGAGGAGTTTCTCAACGCCCTCGAAAAACTGCACGCTCTCCGAATTGTCATCCTTACTCGACGCCATCGCACTCAATTCCAACTCTATATCAATTTGTTTTCACTCTTTATTTAATCGGGATTAATTCTTTTGACTTCACTCTCGGGTATCGAATGGGGTGCTGGTGAGATAATTGTACGACTCTTTATTTGTCAACTTGTGCCGACTGTTTCTCGAACTCAACTGAGGGAATTAGGCAAACAAGTGTTGTCGGAGTGGTAGATTTTCTCGGGGGTTTCTCGGATCTCTTTGTCTCGCGTGTTGGGAACAACAGTGGGGGAGGGAGAGGGCACGAGCGCCCGCGCAGTAGTGCCTTTCGTCATGTCCCCCACCATGTTTTTTTTATCGAGATTTGTTATTCGGGGAGGCGCATGCGTTGGGAGGGGATTTTGAAAAGTTTTTGGGGCTGAGGGACTGACATTTTTTGTTTGAGGATAAATCGAAAATTGACGAAATTGAAATTTTGGGGGAGTGTTTCTGTTAATTATGGATTTATCTCGATAATTCGGGGGTTTTGGAGGAACTGTTAGAAAAGAATTTTTGTTGATGAGGAAATTCTCTAGGGAAAATCTTTTTTGAGGTTTTGTGCTAACTCTAGTCATTGTGAGGATAATCCAGGAATTGAAAGAAGTTTATGATGAGGGAACGATTTGTTTTGTTGTTGCCACCATTTTTTTTTAGATTTGGTTTTTTGGAGGGCGCATGCGCGCAAGCGTTCCCCCGGAGAGATTGACATTTTATACTTGACGATAAATGGAAAATTGACGAAATTTAAATTTTGGGGAATGTGTTTTGTTAGTAATTCATTTTATTTTTTATTAAGTTTTGTTAATTATTGATTGATCTCGGTAATTAGTGAGTTTTGGAGGAAATAATTCTCCACATCCCTTAAAATCGTTTATTCTTCCAAACGAATAAAAATTCCTTCAATTGAACTAGTTATCAATTAATAATTTACATCGTTTTCCCCTTCATTTGAGTATTGCCTCAAAATTTTCCTTAACTTCACTTAATTTTCTTCTGTTTGATTCCTGTTTTCTTCCCACTCTTATAATTTTTCTTATTGACTCTCCTCTTCCCCTCCCTATCGCCCCTATCTGGTAACAGCCCAGTAATCTTCCTCTTCTTATTGACCAGAACGTCCTCGTCCATGGGTTCAATAATCGTTCCCATCCTGGTTTCCACCGCGGGATCAGTCAACCGTTTATGTGCATTTTCGGGGACAAAGTCTCGACCAATTGGCGCCCGTATGCTCGCCTCATAATCAGCGACACTGGTAAATGGATAAGGCAGCTCAGCGACCAAGTGTCGTTTTATCTGGATGTTCGCATCCTCCACGATGATCACGTCTCCTTTATTCTCGTCTTTGCGAGGCGCTTCTTTCGGGAATTTCATAATAAATCTGCGTTTTTTCCGGAGATTCTGAGATATATTTTTTCCACCCCAGGAACCCCAGCCGGGGAGACGAAGGTCCAGATCTTCAGGCTGTGATTTTTTAATCTAGAGAGAATAAAAATAAGGTTCAGTGAAAACCTCTGAATTTTCCAATTGAGGACCAATGGTTTTGCCCTCAAAATCCCATAAACATAAAAAAACATCACCTCATCCTCCTTCTCCCTCCTGAACTCCTCGACAACGTCGTCCTCAGCAAAAGCCTCGCTGATAATATTATGCTGCGCCTCATCCTCACTATCATCCAAGGCCCCCTCATCTCCCATTACCTCTGGAATTTGCGTCCTCAGATGCTTCGGTTTCACAGATATGAATTTCGTGGGATCAATGTCAGCTCCTCGCTTGGTGCCTCCCCCCACCTCCCCAGGAGGAGTCGTGGCATTCCTCGCCACCTGAGCCCCCTGGCCCCCAGCAGTCTCGTCCAAGGGCCCATCGAGCTCCGGACGAAGCCTCGTACTCTTGAAGGAGAGATCAGGCAGCTCTCCCTCACCCTCCTCCTCCTCATTCTCCTCAGTATCCGCCAGTTTATCCAGCTTCCTCAGTTTCTGCTTCACCCTCCTCATCTTCTTACTCGCCCTCTGCTTCATTTTCCCCTCCACCTTATCAAACATGTCATCCAAATCCAGTGAAGATTCCTCTGCTCTGGGTCTCAGTCGAGGGAATGTCTCTATCGTCCACTGAGACGTGAATGTCCCTCGAGATTTCTTCACTTTTACAATTCTACCATTAACCTCCACCTCTTCAACCTCGAATGCCTCCTCGTTCCCCCCTAATTCCCCACTCTCCAGTGTTTTCGCCCTCTTCCTACTTTTCCCTCTGCTTTCCCTCGAACTCCCCTCACCGGGACCGTCTCCACCCCCTCCAGCCCCCTCCTCCACATTAAAAACGCCAGAAACATCAGCAGAAGCAATTTCCACCCCTTCATCCTCTCCCTCAGACGTTTTCGATTTAATCACCGACGTTGTCTCCTTCCTGCTACTCTTCTTTGAATTTTCTCCAAGGTCTCCACCCCCAACAACCTCCTCCACAGGATTCAAAGCGTCAGGAACATCCCCTGGAACAATGTTCACCCCTTCATCGCCTCCCCCAGCACTTCCCCCCCTCTCTTGAGCCCTCATCACCTTCTCCTCCTCAACACGTTTATTCCTCTCGTCCCAGTACTTCTTGTAGCCCTTGACAAACTCCTCGATCTCCTCACCAGACTTGACAGCATTGATCCAAGGATTGTCCCCCCCGTCGATCACCACCCCCTCGTCCTCCCCCTCGTCGCTCTCGTTGCTCTCCCCCTTCGTCACCTTCTGCGTCAACTCCCTGCTGATGCTCAACTGCTGGGCAAGAACCTTTCTGCTCTCTGCATCGTACTTCGCCCTGACCTGTTTGTTCCTCGCCCACTGGCCAGTGCTCCTGTGCCTCAGCGACATCCTCTCCTCCGCCCTCGTCCTGTCCAGCATCTCCAGCTTCTCCAGTGCAGCCTCGGGATCGGTCTTCTGGAGCTCCTCGAACTCCTTGATCTGCTGTTTGATCTTGGCCTTCCTCGCTATTCGGTGGAACTTCTTGCTCTTGATTTTATTCTGGCGATGGGCCTTGGCCTCCCTGTAGGACTGCTGAGCCCTGAACCTCGCTGCCTCCCTCCGCCTCTCCAGGATCTCCCCGAGGGTCAGGGGAAAGTCGTCCTTGCTCTCCTCTGGCTCCGGCTGCTGGGGCTCCAGGGCTGCCAGCTCCCTCTCCAGGTCTGACTGCACTCTGAATCGTTTTATGAAGTCAGAGGTGCTGGTGCCCTTGAGGGACACCTCACCCTGGGCCAGGGGGAACGAGAGCTTCGGGGCGGTCCTGTTGCGCGTGATTATCGCGTCCCACTTCTGGATCTCTTTCTTCGTGTTCTCGAAGGCTATTTCTCGTTTTAGCTTTTCGGCCTGGGGCCTCTCCAGGGGCTTCGGCAGGACTTTGCTGGCGGTTCGGAGGGATTTTATCTTCTGGGTGATCGGACGGTGGGTGGGGTTGCTCTGCAGCGTGCGGAGGAGGTCCGTCAGGTGGACTGAGTCCTTGTCGGTGACGCCGGACTTCACCAGGTGGAACTCCGAGACGAGCAGGCTCGGCTCACTTCGGCTGGGCTTCTTTACTCTGGAAAGATTTATTTAGTTACTGGGGCGAGCAGCCCCTCGCTCGCTCCCTTTCTTGAAAATATCCATTAAACCGTTACCAAAAAATATTTTTGCCAAATAGCCAAACATAAATTTAACAAGTTAATAAAATGGGTAAAATGAAATAAAATGGATAAAATTCACTTGGGAGAAATGTTCATTTTTTGCCATTGTAATCAGCATTGATGATAGCTTACCTCTGGCCACGATCAAGCTTCGCGACTTCCTCCAGCAGCTTGGAGTGGTCCTTGGACACCTCATGATCGCTCTCCAGATCATTCTCCAGGTCACTCATCATTAATTAACAATTTTTTTCAATTATCTATCGGAACACGCTGGACTTTGGAGAAATTTGAGGTTAAGAAGAGACATGTGCCGGAGACTTGGTGAGACAGATTGGTCCGTTACACTTGAATATTAGTCGAAATCGACTATATATACTCCCCTGTGGGTACAAGCGATTCCGAACGCGCCTGCGTGCACAACTTATCGATAGCCGAAACATTAAACTTGGTGCAGGAATCTGTTACATCACAAGTGCTTTCCCCCCTCCACTCGTTGAAAAAAAAATAATCAGTGCAAGTGCAATCGACGATTGGGCCGTCACCGTAGCTGCGAAAGGTCTCCTGTCAGTCTGCCACAGCCCAACGACGACTCGGTGCACGTCATCCGCCCATCGATAGCCTCGACACGATGCCGAATATCATCAATGACATTAAGCTCGATTTTAAGGATGTCTTGTTACGTCCCAAACGGAGTACACTCAAAAGCCGATCTGATGTGAGTTTATTTTGATAATATTCTATTTTTATTGGAGGGCGAAGTATTCATATTTTTACACGGTGATGTGCTTTTGATGATTTTTCGTCATTTTTTTTTGGAAATGAAGGAAAAATTGAAATCATTGGGGACATTTCGATTTTTTTTAGGATTTTGTTGATTGATTGAGGATGATTATTCAATATTTTAGGGGGATATGCTCTTGGATGAGGTTTTATTTTCCTCGAATTGAGGGAAGAGAGGTTTTTGGAAATTGTTTGAAGACTTGACGGCGTTTTTTCACTTCAGATGATTTTTTTAAAATTTTCACCAATTTTGTTTTGGAAGATGAGGGAAAAATTGAAATTTCTGGGGACATTTCGGTTTTTTGTTTTTTTTTAGGATTTGTTTGAAGGTTTGATGACGTTTTTTCACAGCAGGGACTTACTATTTTTATTTTTGGATGACACCAGACACTTCTGGTTCAACTTCGGAGGTGGATATTCAATTGTTTTAGGAAAAAGTCAGTTGACTGGTGATTTTACTTTACAGCCTTCATATTTTTTCATTATTTCCGAGGTGTTTTTCATTTTTTTAAATTTTTTCTAGACCTTGATATCTATTTTTTCATATTTTTAGATGAATGGATTTTTCGAAGATTATTCGTTCATCTCATAATGAAGGAATAATCAATTTTTTGAGGGAAAAAAAAATTGTTTTTATTTTTTTTAAGAAACTTACTATTTTTATTTTTGAATGGCACTAGAACCTTTTGATTCAAAATCCAAATAAAAAAAATATCTAAAATTCATTCCATAAAAAACATTCACTTCATTAATTTTCCGTTGATTATCGCATAAATCATCGACTACCTTCATTCTCATATTTGCATTTTAAAATCCAGGAACAAAATACATTACATCAAATTTACGATTAAAAAAATCATAAATTCATTCTCTGTTGTTATGTTTCTACGTTGCCGTAAATTCCTTCTCACATCTCAAAATGCCAATTTATCATTAAAAGTTTAGACTTTAAGAATTTTTTTGAAGGAAAAAACTCACTATCCTTATCTTGTAGGTACTTCTGTTTCAACTTCCTAATGAAATAAAAAATGTTCACTCCATTAATTTTCCTTTTATTTCCGCATAAATTAATGCCTACATTCATTCCTATATTTGGAGAAGACTAATTATTCTTTCACCATGTTTATAAACAAAATTAATTCCTGTAAATTGATGACAAAAGAAATCTTAAATTCATTTTTACCCCTCAGAAAGCCAATTTCTCGTTGAAAATCCCGAGAGTCGTCTTCTCTCACCCTAAAGCATCCAACTGTTTCTCTAGGTGGACTTATTCCGTGAAATAACGTTTCGTAATTCGAAAAGAACGTACAAAGGTATACCAGTGATGGCATCGAATATGGACACGGTTGGGACATTTGAAATGGCTAGGGCATTATCCAAGGTAATTATACAGCCTTCGTCGCTTGTTAATTTAACTCCAAGGCTCTTGTCATTGATATCAAGACGAGAAAAAATTAAAAATGAGGAAAATAATGGCAACATTATGGAAATTTTCTCATTGATTTTTTTTATCTATCTAAGCATGGACTGTTCACAACGCTGCACAAGTATTATTCCGCCGCCGAGTGGAAGGAATTCGCCGAGAAAAACCCAGATTGCCTGGGAAATGTTGCCGCCACTTCGGGAACTAGTGCTGGGGATTTTGAGCGACTCACGTCAGTTGTCACTGCAGTTCCTGAGTTGAGTTTTATTTGCCTGGATGTTGCCAATGGATATTCACAGCATTTCGTGGAGTTCGTGAGGAAAGTCCGGGGACAATTCCCTGATCACACGATAATCGTGAGTGACAATAATAATTTCGTATTTTTTAGTGAATTGTTGCAGTTTTTTTCCGAAGCAAAAGAGCTTTTTGGGAATCAATTGCGAGGTTTACGGATTTTTTTCTGGGGAGAAAAATAATTATTGATTTCTTCATTTCATGATTTTTTAAATGTTGAGGATTAGATCAGTAATTTTTAATTTTTTTATGTCGAGTCTATTAATTGAAGTCAGAGTAATTGAAAAATTCGATGAGAAAAATTATTTCAGGTCATTGGGATTTTCTTTTATTGAAAAGAACATTAATTGAAGGTTCAAAAACTAAAAAACCAATTGCTTAGATCCATTAATTTTTTTCATCGTAGTTGACATTATCTCGACTCCTAAATGTGTACGTTATTGATCATCTCTTGACTATACAGAATTATCGACGAAACTTTTATTCTTTAGAAAATTCCACTCAGTTGTGGAGTAATGAAACGAAATTGTTATTTGAAAACCTTTGTAACTTACAAAAATTTTCTTCTGTCCCTTCAGTATCGAGAGATTCACGAGGAACACTTAAATGAAGTTCATTCCACTTGTCTTTCAATTCTCATTTCAGTTCATCAAAAATCGTAATTATTCTCATTTCATTAGTTTCATTAGAAGTTGCAATGAACATATAGAATAACATTATCAGAATACGGCGCTATACACTTCGTTATCAGAATAACATCAGGTCGATACCCCCGTTTTTCCTTTTCACGGTAATCAGGAATTTTTTCTGAAAAAAAAGATTATGACTCAGCCCCTTGCAGTGTTTGATTTCATAATCAGCATAACGTCATACTTTGGTGCTTAATGACATCATTTTTCATTCGACGTCGATCGAGTTTCAACTGAGAACTAAAATATATTATTTAAAGGCCGGAAACGAGGCGAACGACATTTTTAAGAGTCACAAGGGTCACCTCGTGACCCCTGTGACCCTTTGACCAACTTTCCCCCTGAAAAAATCCAAGATCTGACACTTTGGCCCCCGGTGAAAATTTTTTTTTTTCAGTTTTCACTTTTTCCACATACTTTTGAGAGTTCTGAACAGCTCGTCGCTCAAATGATATCGATGGCATATAAACAGATAAGAAAAACATTTGATTTCAAGGCCGGAAATGTCGTGACTGGGGAGATGGTGGAGGAATTGATTCTTTCTGGCGCTGATATTATCAAAGTTGGCATTGGTCCTGGGTCGGTTTGCACCACTAGAATGAAAACAGGGGTTGGGTATCCACAGCTGTCTGCTGTTATCGAGTGCGCTGATGCTGCGCATGGATTGAAGGGCCATATTATCTCGGTAATGATTTCTCAAATTTTTAAATCATAAATCATTTTTATGTGGCGCTTCATCATCGAATCATTCGTCAACAGAATAAGCAACTTACGATTAAATTAAATTGAATTGAATTCAATCTAATTGTTTGAGTAAATCGTCTTTCGCTCTATTTCCCATAATTTTCTAACGATGTATTTTTAAATAATTAGGACGGAGGCTGTTCGTGTCCCGGAGACCTCGCCAAAGCCTTCGGAGCCGGTGCAGACTTCGTCATGGCAGGAGGAATGTTTGCTGGACACGACGAGTGCGGTGGTGAGGTGATGGAGAAAAATGGAAAGAAAATTAAATTATTTTACGGAATGGCGTCCAGCACAGCCATGGAGAAGCATGCCGGTGGTGTTGCCGAGTACAGGTATGTTAATAGACTCATTAAATTCTGTTCTAGTGCGTCAGTAGGTGCTCGAGGCATTGAACATTGAACTATTCAGCAACGAAACGGTAAAACGCTTCAAGTCGATTTTGAAATCTAGGGGAGATAACGAAATTTTTGTCATTACCTTTTTTGCAGCCCTCAATCCGCTCGGAAAAAAATGGCATTACCAAAATTTTGGTATCTCCCTTAGATTCGAAGATATTCCTCGAAAACTCAGGCGAGAGCTAAATCGAGTTGGAGCATTTCACAGCTTCGGTTCCGCTTAATATATAGATATAATACATAAATTTTATTACTATTTTATACGGTTTATATGTAAATAACTAGGGGAGACGACTATTTGATGTAATTCAAGCAATAAAAAATTTTTTTCATCAACTTTTGTTTAATAACTTTTTTTATTATTGGGAGTACTGCACTGTTCGAAATTTGTTGAAATTTCATGGAGGATATTATAGTAAATCTCATGAGAGTGACATTGAATTGAATTTAGGGAATTTAGAGAAAAAATGATATTTCATGTTTTAAGTAGAATTCACGAGTTTTCAGTGGGAGTGAGACGGAAATTTCCTAACTTGATTGAATTTTCGGTGTTCCATCCACTCATGTTCTCATGCTCCTTTCAGATCGTCAGAGGGAAAGACTGTGGAGGTGCCTTACAGAGGAGAAGTCGAGAAAACTGTTCTTGATCTACTCGGAGGACTCAGGTCGGCGTGCACCTACGTCGGTGCGTCTAGATTACGCGAATTACCGAGACGTGCCACATTCATAAGATGCACCCAGCAATTGAATCCAATGTATGGACCACCATCGTAAACGTAGAATTAATTCAGACTAGTGGAAATTCCCTCGATGATTATGCCCTCAAAAAAATTATTGACCTATTTATTTTGTTTTATTTTCTAAGCGAGTTGCTGAAGTGCTGAAAATTGTTGTTACATTCGCTTTTTGCCATTTTGAGGTGCAGATGAGTCAGAGATAATTATTGCAATTAAGCATTTTGCCAGAATTTAACTTTAAAGTTCTTCAGGTTTCTAAACATGGAGGAACTGGTGAAGAGCATGAAATTAAAAACATTTTCGTTAGATATTTAATCCTCCAGAGAAAATTATTTTGACATTCTTCAATTAATTCACTCATTATCCTGATAATTAACGAATTAACAACGAATTGGAAGGGATTTTTGATTAACTGAAACTCACGTGATGAATTCAGCCGCAATTATCTCGAGAACGAGTCATCCCAGGAGAAAATATCATACGACGTTTTTTGTAGAGAATTCAATTTCCTACAAAAATTGTCTTGTCATATTTTTTTCCCTTTTGCACATTTGCTGAGATATTTGCAAAAAACTAGAAACAAATTTTTTGCTCTTTACCACTTGCTCGTGAAATTTCTTCTTAAATCAATTAATTAATCAATTAAAGTGAGTCCATGTCTTTTCAACTACTTCAGTGACGGATGGCGGTCATTGATGTGTGCATTAAGTTATTAATTGGAGCAATTTTTTTTTGTTCTGCATTGTTTATTGAATTGTGCGTCCAAAAAGTCGAAATATAGTAAAAAAAATTGAATTAATTGAAAACTCAATTGAAAAATTCAAGTTAAATTATCGACATTGAATTGTTATTGAATTATTGACGCATCAGTTGAATTTTTACATTCAATAAACAAAACAAATTAAATTTTTTTTTATAATTACCGAAAATGCAATGATTTAAATGAAATCAGTTAATATGTCGTAGTTGAAAAGACGTGCTACCATTAAACTAGGTGAAATTGCAATAAAATTGTTGACGAGTCGTTGACAAATTTCAGGGATTTATTTTAGGTGCACTTACGCACACGAAGTCATGTAAATCGTCCTTGGATAACTGCATCGGTGTTCCCTTCTCTCTGAATAAATTCCTCTTTGCATCCTCTGATAATCTGACGAGGGTAATTAGAGGCACGAAGGTACAAGGAACATTTTGTATTGATTAAACGATAGTAATCGTGCCACATCGAAGAAACGAGGAAGAGTGGGTCCAAATGGACTTTAGTATATGTTCAATATCTCCTGAGAAAATGATGCGATTTGGCGGAGTCAGGATTCATGATAAAGTGCGAAAAAATACCTTGAAAATGAAAGAAGAATCGTGAAATTTCACTCAGCCAATCCTGAGATATTCACCTTTTTCCTCCCAATCACTCTGAATATTAATTATCAATCCTTTATGAAAAATTGATTTATTGTGTTTTACGTATGCTGGTTATAATTCTCGATTAAACATATACATTTGTTATGTAACATGTTCAGAGTCAAGTGTTTGATGATTTTGGTATGTGTGATTGTCTCGAAAGAGTCTTGAAAATGTGATAGTAACAGTATGAATTCTTATTGTTTTATTTATCGTTTTTCTTTCTTGCTGGTTGATGTTAATAAAGTGTACTGAGTACTTGAATCTCATTGTTTTCAGTGTTTTCAGCCATTATCACACGCAGTGTGTTGAGTTGTTGAGTAAACCTTCACAAGTTGATTTTTCGCATTTCTGAATGTTTGATTATCTCGGTTGTGAGTGGGTTTAGAGGAAAATGCCATAAGACATTTTTTGTAGAGAATTTATTTCTGCATAAAAAACGTCTTGATATATTTTTTGATAACTCTACTCGTTATGGAAATAATTGCAAAATTGGGGAAATCGTTTTTTGATGAGTTTTACAAGTTGTTGCATTTTTAGTTGAGGGTCAAACGACCCTAGACGTTCTTAAGGATTACTTGACCCTCAACTAAAAACAAAAAAAGCCTCCCGAATTATGCAAAGGTCTCTTCAACTAGATTCATCCCCAAAAATGTCCTCTGAAATTTTCCCTCAACCCCTCTCCTCCAGAAATATCGCCGAAACTAATTTCATCCAAAACCCATTTCAAATGAAAAAAAAAATCGAATTCTTCGAGTAGAAAAAAACCGAAAAAAAATCTCAACAATGCTCCGCAAAAACGGATATTTACAAAACTAAAATCCATCCACCGAATTACCTCATCCGCATAACACGTGCCGCAGCATCCGTCCTGAAACGACAGATGAATTTTAATTCTTAAACAACAGATTGGATCGATAAAGAACAATACAACGATTAAATCATCAACGAGGGAGACAATTAACAGAAAAAAAAGTCGTGTAACAAATAGCAATTGAAAAATGGTGCGTACTCAGTTCTAAAAAGAGTGCTAAATTCATCAATTCGCAATGATTATGTTCATATTAATTAGTCAACTAATTACTGTGTAATACGATCATCAACAATTCATCAATTCAAAGTTTACGGTAAATAATTAATTCAATTAAATCTAGTGAAGGAAAAAATAGGAAAAGAAATTGAAATCGAAATAGGGAAAAGCGGGGCAAATTAGCTTAGAAAAAATGACTATTCAGGACAATTCAGGATTTTTTTTTATTTGAGGGTCAAGGGTCAAATGTTCTTGAGGTGCACCCCTTAATGACGTTCAGGGCTAAGGGTCAAACGACCTTGAGGGTCAATCGACGCTCAATAGCGTTTGGAGTTGTGCTTTAAATGATCTAGAGGATCAAACCCTTAATGACAGTTAGGGCTAAAGGTCAAATGATCTAGACGACCTTTGAGGGTGAAATGACTCTCAAAAACGCCTAGGATTGAGGATCAATTGCCCTTTTCTGATCACTCTACTAACCCGTAAGACCCTCAAGACCACTTGACCCTCAACTCCAAACGTCCCGAAGGGTCATTTGACCCTCAACCAGAGGCAAAAAATAATTTCCTAAATAATACTAAACAGTCAGTTTTCCCGGTGTTGCATTTTGCAGAATTCCGGAAACTTTTTTTCGTTTTTAGTTGAGAGTCAAATGGTCTTAAGGGTCAAATGCCCTTTAATAACATTCAAGAGTCTAATGGGGACCCTCAAACCCATTTGACCCTCAACTAAAAACAAAAGTGCCCTGAACTCCCCTAAATAGCCGTTTTTCCTGGTGTTCCGTTGTGCCCCGCTCTCCCCTAGTAAATAAACTTGTAAATATGGTGGATAAATCATAGGAGATACTAGTACAATTCATTGTTCAATAAATTCGCGTACAAGGCGATATTGTCATCTATTTAGCATGAAAAAACCTAAAGAAAAAACGAGACATAGGCAACACTCTTAGCAAAAACAATTTGTTCTCAGTTCGGTATTCATCGTTATTTACCATTATCATTGATTAGCGATTACTCCTCATGGTGGGTATCCCAGGTGTTGGTAATTATCTTCGTAAGGGGTTTCACCGATTATTTGGGGATGTTCAAGGGGGATAGCTCCTGCCATGGAATTCAATAGTTAGGGGCGAAAAGTGAAGACACAATTCACTATTCTTTTCTCCACAGGAGATATCAGGAAATCTTTCCCTTCGGGTGATTGAATTGGCAAAGAAAAATGTCTGTCGACATTTATCTCCAAAAATGTCATTGAATTTGCTTTATCGAGAAGTTATGGGAATTTGTTGGGTTTTTCAGACGAAAATTTCAGACGAGAATTTGCAAGAATTTCTAATTAAACGTGAACCCAAATTAATTATTAGTTGATTAATTAATTTAGTATCAAAATTAATTCATTCACCTGAATTTTTCCTGAAATTTATTAGTTCAATTATTAATTAATTACATGAAAGACTCGTGAATTTAATTAATCAAGCGTGTATTAAAATTTTTTTAAAAATTGACATTAGAATTAGAGAAGAGGTTGAAGGGAAAATGAAGAATATAGACATGATCGAATGTAATTGATTAGCAATTCTTAACAATATCATAGGGAAATGCAATTGTAAAGCCAAAACAATCTAATTTCTATTTGCATTCCCCGAATCTCCATAAAAAATGTCATTCCCAATAATTTAGTCCAGTGCAGGAATAATCCTATCACCCCTGAACGTCCTTAAACAAACATTAATCACCCCTGAATGATCATCATTTCAACAAAAAAAAAACCAGTTTGCATTGTAAAATGGAAAAACATCCTGAATTCAGACGAGTTCATCCTCCTGGAGATCAGCAGCAACATCCCTGATATTGATTTCATTCACAAAATAAAAATATGCCAATGACAATTACAAATTCCACAGCAATTACAATTGAATCCAATGAAACTCGAGCAAAATGTAAAAAAAAATTCTCTACAAAATGTCCGTTGGATTGTTTTGTTTGCACAGCTGCACATTCTCGATCCTAAAATGTGGGACTGGTTAATGAAATCACGACTGATAAAGGACCTTAATCAACATGTTCATGACGAGATATGTTAAGATATTTATCAATAATTTTTATAAGTTTTTTTTTCACATTATTTTTCTTTTACTATCTTGAATACATGTGTAAAATAAATTTCGACAGTTTAATGAATACATGGTGTAAATAAATGTAATTATTATGAGATATTGGAAGCCACAGCAGACGTGAAGAGGCTTCGTTCCACTGCCACCACCTGAGGGATCTTACCTTCATTTTTTTTCAGGGTTGATTGTGGGTGATAGGTCGATTCATTACGGTAATTGATGAGTTTAAGAGAATCATCAGTAGAGATTTTTGCGGAAAATTTCGTCAGCTACAAAAAATGTCTTCTGATATTTTTCGATAAATTCGATAATTTCAGAGATATTTACAAAAACCAAATGTATCTATTTTTTAAAATCCATGTCTAAACATTTTTAAGTACGAAATTAACAAATGGACTCTATTTGCCCCAATTATTTTCGCAAACACCTCTCAAACTACTGCATTTGTCCAAAAACATTGACTAAATTTTTGTAGAAGACAACATTTCCAACAAAAAAATCTAAAAAAAAACCCTCAACTCCTGCCTCTCACATTGTGATCGTAATTGTTGACTTGAAGAGAAATATCGGTAGAAATTTTAGTGAGAAATTTCGTCGGCTACAAAAAATGTCTTCTGACATTTTTCGATAAATTCGATAATTTCAGAGATATTTGCAAAAAACAAATATATTAATTTTTTAAAACACATTTCTAAACATTTTTTGTCCCCAAATTACCGAATGACCTTTATTTCTCCCAATTATCTTTGCAATCATCTCTTAAACTGCTATTTTTACCCAAAAACATTGACTAATTTTTTGCAGAAGACAAAATTCCCCGCAAAAAACATCTAAAAAACTCAACTCCTGCCTATCACAGCCCACAACCCGCATTCCAGATATCTCTCATCGTTCCCCTCGTGTTAATACACTTTAATAACCATATGCATAAGAAGAAATGTCAGAGTTTAATGGAAAACATGGACATAATGATGTTATAGTCATACATAATACTATTCCGATAGTTTTCTCAATAATTTCATTCGTATTATCATATTTCGTAGTTTTGAATATATGAACCTTAGACTAAATAAGAACAGTGATATCCTACAGGTATATATATGTAGCTGGATACATATATACACATTTTTATAAAAAAAAAGAGGAGAAGAAAGAGCGGAGGACATAGTAATCGTAATAAATTAACTTGTCTTTCTGGTTCTTCTTATTTTCGTTTTCATTTTCATTGAAGATAAATTTTTTTTGAAAGCTTGCTGGCTCATTCTTCTAATCAATCAAAGCATTCTGAGTTTAATTATCATCTTGTGGATTCTATTTACTTTTTTTTTATGATTATTTTTAACGTTAGAACTATTATGAAGACAACAGCAGGCATTTAACCGCGTCCCAATGGAAAGCTATCTGAAAAAACTGTTGGAAATAATGCATTACTGTACACAAACATTGATTACCTTTCGTGGCTTATTATTTATTTAAATGTCATATGTTCAAAGGTGTAATATTATATATATTGGGAATTGCATTTGTTTAAAGTGGCATTTTTTTTGGTAATTTTGTTGAATTTTCAAATGTGAAAACCTGAAAATATCAATGAAATCACAAAAACATTTCACAGATAAATTGAGACAATAATGCATGGGAGATTATTGTTACACCATTGATGCACAATTTTAAACGGTTTAAATTTTTCAGAAGAGATATTCTAGGTGAATTAATCATGAGGAATTGTGTAAATTTGAGGAGAAATTGTGGATTTGCTGGCCATTTCGTGATAAGTTGAATTATTCTGTGAATTAAATTCAAAATAAAAAATGTTTTGACATTCATTAATTCTTCAATTAATGAATTTCTGGAACTATTAATTCGCGAAAGGAAAATTACTAGTTTGGAACTGATTTTTTTAGACTTAAAATCTATTGAAAGTCTCTCCACATTTTTTAATAATAAATCAATCAACTAACGAGACAGTTAAATTATCTGGAGAAATGAGCAATCCGATTTATCACGTTGAAATATTCTAATGCAGGCTGATTTACACAATTTCTCATGATGTTGAATGCTTAAAGGAGAACGAGATACTCACATATTAATCGTGGCTGATAATTCAGGTGGAGACATTAGTTGTCGGAGTTGGGTTGTGAGTATGGATAGTTCTGGTAACCACCAGCGAACGCTGGATTCTGCTGGCCAGGCTGTTGCTGTGGTGCAGCTGCACCGCCACCGCCAGCGTAGTATGCAGCTGGGGTTGAGCCGGCATTGATGCCTGGATATGCCCCATAGGCGTGGGGAAATGCATTGGGTGCACCAGATTGGGGATTCGCTGGTTGGGCTGGCATTGCCTGCTGTTGTTGCATCTGGGGCTGGGACATTTGATTATTTGCTGCACCCAACTAGAAATTCAAACGAGGTAGGAACGTCATTTTAGCTTTGAGTCTTTAAACATAGTGATTTCTATTCAATAGGACATTTTATTCATTATTTTATAATTCCTATTAGATATACTTGGATATACACTGAGCGAAATTCCATTGACAAGCAAAATGCTAATTTATCAGCACAGATATATTAACTATATTGTGACGAAAGCAATTTTCCACTTGTTTAAAACTATTATTTGCTTCTGTTGGTCCTTTTGTACTCCAAATAAATAAATAAATAAATAAATTAATTAATAAATAAAGAAATGAATTTGATACTCGAAATTAAGACTCGACAATTAAGGGTCATGAGTAAATTAATAGATGAATTACTAAACAAATGAATGAACAAATGACTGAGAAATGAATAAATCCTCTCACCTTTCCAGCCTTCATTTGAGCCTCAATGACCTCGGCCTCCTTGACCTTTCCCATGCTCCTGTAGTACTCAGCCCACTGTGCACTGTAATCCGCCTGCTGCTGTCCCCCATTCTGGGCAGGATTAGCCTGCTGCTGTTGATTAGTCTGTGCCTGCTGCTGTGGCTGTCCAGTGGCACCTGCCTGTGCCCCTGGTGGTGCTGGCTGCTGCTGCTGCTGCTGCTGCTGATCAGACTTGGCCTGCTTCGACTGCTGCTCAATCATCTCCGCCTCCCTGTGCATTCCCAGTGATCGATAGTACTCAGCCCACTGGGCACTGTAGTCAGGCTGTCCCGTCTGTGGATTCACCTGGACAGGCTGCACTGCACTGTTACCATCATTTGGCTGTTGACCAGCTCCCGGCCACGTCTGATATCCAGCCCCTGCATTCCAGCTTGGATTGTAGCCAATTGCACCCTGTCCACCACCGTAAGGTGTGCCACCAGGACCCATTCCCAATTTTTCACTGAATATTCTCTTGGCGTGCTCCACTTGCTCTGGGGTACCACGAATTATGAATATCTTCTCGTTTTCACTCCCCTGATTTCTACGATCCAACTCACAGTGAGCACCTGTCTGCTGGTTTATCTGTTTTATTGTTTCACCACCTGCAATTGACGATTCAATTATTGTAATGATTTATTTATTGGAAGAATTCACTAGCAAAGCGGTAAAAACGTTTTAAGGATAGCCAAGTACTTTGGCTGTTTTCTTATCCAGTTAAATGCTTTACGATGATTTTATTATGTCAAAATATTGCAAGTCTAAATTTGAATCTCGATATTGAACCGTTCAAAAAAAATTTAAAAATCTGAGAAAAAAATTGAAATTAAACTCCTGATATGGGCCATTCTGTGGTTATATCCAGCAATAACAACATCGAGTGTAATTACTTATCAATTCGTAATAATTCGTACCTTTTCCAATGATAATTCCACACTTGGTAGAAGGAACATTGTACGTGGTTTCGATTTTATCCCCCATGGGGCCACCCCCAGCACCAGGAGGTCCCCCACCCCCTTGACGTCTGTCCCATCCTCCATACTCATTGGGACGTCCACTGCCAAAGCCATTGCCCCTGGGTCCCCTAGGTCCCTGTGGATTTCTGTCGTCCCTCCTCTGCAAAAACACCAATCACCCAATGAGCAACACAATTACCTCATCCCCCCACCAATCGTCAAAAATGAATAGAAAAAGGGGAAATTAACATTTACACTGTCGATGAGCTCCTGGATCCTCTGGCGAGCTTGTTCAACTGCCTGAGGCTTACCAGAGAGCAGACACTTCCTGTCACCAGGGCCATCCTCACGACCCTGTTGAAACTGCACACGTGCCCCAGTCTCTGACTGTATCTTCTTGATCATGTCACCACCCTTTCCAATAACAACTCCAACAGCTGCACGAGGCACCAGAACCTCGACACCATCGGCATTTGATGAGGGATGGATGTATCCATTGTCACTGGAGAAACTTCCAGAACGATCGTTGGAACCTGGAGGACCACCACCACCACCTCTGGGGCCTCTGAACATCTGCATCTCCTTCTCTGCTATTAGCTCGTACACCAGTTGCTTTGCATACTCCACTTTTGGGGGATCTCCAGTTATTCTGCAATTTGAAAATCATTTTTTTCAATTTTTTTTAGACGAGTGTCGCGTTTATCCACTACAGTTTATCAAATAATGGGTTTAGGAGAACATGTCACAAGACATTTTTTATCGGAAATTCAATTCTCTACAAAAAATGTCTTATGCAATTTTCTCCTAAACCCTTTATTCACCGAGATATCCACGAAATAACGCGATTGAGAGTCACGTCCGAGAGGAAATTTCGTGAATTATAGTCTCATTTAACTTTAAACAACAGAATTTCCCCAATTTAAAAACCAACCTCAGCGGTTTCTCCTGCTCCTGTGAAGGTCCATCCTGGATGACCACCATCTTGGCTCCAGACTTCTCCTGCAGCTGCTTGATAGTCTCCCCTCCCTTGCCAATGATCAATCCAACCTTGGGTCCAGGGATCATGATCTCCACGGATCCAGGATGTCCACTCATCATAGATCCCCCACCACCACCACCGCCTCCACCACCGCCGCCGCCTCCACCACCACCACCACCACCACCACCACCGCTACCCGAGTTGCTGCTGGAGTTCCCTCCAATGTTCATATCTCCAATTCCCTCAGCCCTGCACCTCTGATTGACAATGGAGAGCACCAGATCCTTCGCCCTACTGCAACAGACAAAAATAAATCATAAATACACCGGAATAAATCGATCCCTCATTCAATTGAAACGAAAAAAAAATGTCTGAAGCACTAGAACTAGGCAAATGGTACGACACATATAATAACTATCCTTCCAAATAATCATCTCGCAATTAAAGCACAATCACATGGTAATACATCATTATATCGATCAATCCAACAGGATATATCATTTCAAATTGTTCATTAAATTGAAAATAATACGATTGATGTGGATTTATGAAGCAATTCTAAGCTAGTACATAATAATTTTTTTTTTAATCATCTCGGAGATAACAATACGCCCCCATGCATAATTCTATCAACTCCTTCCCATCTTCCATTACCATCTTTCATACTCCTCATTCCCTAGTAAAAGTAAAAAACTATTAGTTATTTATCAATTCAAAGAAATCAAGTACGACAATAAATTGTTGAGTAAATGAATTAACAGAACAAATGATAGAACAGATCAGAACAGAACAGAATGATATGGAACAATTTTAAAACAGATAATTCAATTCACAAATCGTGGATTATTGTTTATGCATCAATTTTCTCAGACATTTGGCGAACACATTATTTATCGGTGGAGTTTTTTTGCCGGTCATCCAGGCTTCTAATTTTTCTGGAATAAAATTTCATGAATTTTTGGCATCTGTTCTTGATTTTATTTATTTATTTTTTCTATCGAGTTTGACATGAGGCGTAATGCATGTGGATGGCTCGTATTGCGGGGGGTGATGGCTACATTTATTGTGGCGAGGTGATGATCGAATTGTTCAGGTTCCTGGGACGTCACAGACAATGCAGTTGTGAGAATCATCACGAGGATTGAGCGGTGAAGTGGTGGATTTTTGGTTTTTTGGAGATATCGAGAGAAGCGCTGGAGGTAGGGAAAAATGTTAGGGATACCCATTGTAGAGAATTAAATATCCTAGAAAAAAGGTCTTGGGACTTTTTTTGTTATCTCAATTAGATATGGACACAATCGCAATCTAAAGTTCGTGAAATTTCATGATTGAAAATTTAGTTGATAGTTTATTTCGTGAAAATCTCGGTAAATAATGGGTTTAGGGAAAAATGCCACACGACATTTTTTGCAGGAAATTTAATTCTCTCCAAAAAACATCTTATGACATATTCTCGTAAGCCCATTATTTACCGAGGTATTCACGAAATGAGGCGATTTAATTCTCGACATTCGTAACTTCCACAAATTTAAATTTAATTTCATTGTCATTTGTTTGATTATCTCGATGCTGAGTCATCCTATCAACAAATCTTCTGGGAATGATTTGTAGGAAATTCAATTGTCTACAAAAAGTTCCCGACCCATTTTCCCCCCAGCCCACTATATCTCGAGATATGCATTATTTTTCTCCACCACTTCCCTACAAAACATCACATTAATTTTCAAAATTTCATAAATTTCCTCTCAAACGAAGATGAATCTTCATAATCACTCATGCGGAGTATTGTCATATGTATGGGGATTGCATTGCATAAAGAATATAATCAAAATAAATAAAAGAATTATTGTTTGAAATAAGAAGGGAAAACAAGTTACTTGACAGCCTCTCGTGAACCAGTTAGAGTGCAAACACGGTCCGGTAGACCGCCACTTTCGGGCGCCATTTGTATTTTACATCCTGTTTCACTTTGCAATCTCGTTATTTGTTCGCCGCCCCTTCCAATTACTGTAAAAATAATCATGGATTAATGACTGGTGATTAATGATTGTTTTTTTTGTGAGGGAGAGGGGGAATTCTTCATTTGGTTTTCACTTGAATTTCGGTCGATCGTAATCGATCTGAGTAGCAACAGATGTTGTGTTGACCACTGTGGAGAGTTCAACGAAACAAATTGTTGTTTGTAAATTGTTAAAATCAAATTAAAGTTTGTTAATGATGAAAACAACGATAAAACCATGAATAAACGGATGATTCAGTGGTGAAGTGGCATTACCTCGATAATTAATGGATTCAAAGCTGAATGACAGACATTTTCCATAGAAAATTTAATTGTGTGTGAGAAATGTCTGATTTCATTTTGCCCCGTAAAATGTATCAGTGGGAGAAATGACAATTTGGTAAACTTTTTTTCTATTTGAAGGACAAATGATTTAGAGGGTCAAAAGACATAAAATGTCAATTATCTCAGAAACGAATGAATTCAAAGAACAACTCCTGTTACATTTTTTGTGGGAAATTGAATTCTCTACAAAAAACGTCTGCTGACACTTTTTCCCAGGACCACTCAAAACCGAAATAACGGAATTCCCACTTCGCACTGAATGCAGTTATAGAATTATTATCCAGAATGAAAAGAAATTTTTTTAAAGACAATAATGTCATTTAAGGATTTACTTTAAACTCTCAATTCTTGTTTTTAGGGGGTGCATTCATCATTTACTCACTCAATCCAACCATTTTATCAGGGACTCGAATATCTTCATTGCAGATACCACCCATACCACTGACTCCATGAGGCGGTGACGAAGCCAGGGAGCTTGATCGTCCACTGCTTGGATCTCCCATCGATGGTGCACGAAGGTTCATTAGAGGATCGGGTGCTAATTTCTTGGCCTCAGGTTCTACTAAAAGTGGAAAGATACACTCAACATTTTTTTTCCTTTCTTCGATTACTCTCAGTCCCAATGAATGCGATTTTCACATTTCAATTTTTTATATGGAAATTGTAATGCCATTGGCGAAACAGGAAAAATTATGTGCTCTGTATTTTTCGGAACTATTTCTGGAACCAGTGGAATTGAAAAAATATTTTCCAAGAAGTAGTGAGATGTTTCAGAAATTCACCAAAAATACAAAATTTACTTGCAGAATAGTTTTCGCAAATATCTCCAAGACTGGTAGATTTATGAAAAAAAAACTTACTCAAGTAGATTTAATGCTGTCCAAAAATATTCTTTAATTCTTTAATTTTTCCTCAAACTCTATATTACCAAAATAATTCGCCATTTAACAACGAATATAAAAATAACCAACAACAGATGATTTGAAGGTTCGAGTAAAACATTAAAATGATCAATTTTTCAGTAAATATTTTTTAAATCGTCAAATGTTGAAATAAAATGCCTGAAATAAATCGTTTTCACTGAAATTTTCCCCAAAAGCCCTTCCCTCCAAAAATTTCCCCCAAATCACCTCCTCGAGTTCTCCCCCACCACCAAATCCCCAATTAAAATCATTAATCATCTTTACCATCATGAACCATACCTGGGCCATCCTCAAGTGACCGCTTAAGTTTTCCCTCGGAACTCTGTGTACCCCCTGGATTTATCTTAGCTGCGATCTGCGAAAAATCATCGTTGACAAAACCAAAAACATCTCTAAAATAATCTCGAAAAAAAATATATATATAATCAACGAAAAACGTCCCACTCGGGATTAAACCCCGACAATTTCATGAAAATATCCCACAAAATCATCATCACAGTTAACAATCAGTTAATCAGTCAGTCAATCAATCAATCGCCCTCCACGTTTTCACCTAGAGTCCAAAACGCATGTAAACCTCACATCAAACCTGGATTAAACTCACCATCAGAAGAAAAACAAAATGGTCCCCATTAAATCGTCAATATCTCCGGTACCAACGATCCGATTGGCGCTAATCAGGTCTCATTTTAAAGATAATGAAAATACCGTCAAAATGGCGGAAGACTCATCAGATTTCACTCAACCGATCCTGAGATATTTGCGATCAAAACCGAACTATTTCATCATCATTAATAAACAATTAACAGAGAATGAAACAGAATGCTCCGATTTGAACCGTGAACATCTCGGGATCAAAAGGTCCCATTTCGACGAGTCATATCTCATTCTGAAGGCCATAAAAATCCCTTGAAAATGAGCGCTGATTTTTTTAATTCCACTCAGGAAATCCCGAGATATCTGCCATTGAATGCGGACTATTTCACTATTCCTAATCCAGAATGAACCAAAATAGTCCCCACTCAAACCTCAATATCTCCAGTCCTAGCGGTCCGATTAAAAAAAATCAAAACTCATTTTAAGCTCCACAAAAATCCCCTCATGCTGACCTCAAATTCACTCGGCCAGCCCCGAGATATTGACAATAAAAAAACCTTCAATTTTCCCCCTCCCCAAAAAAACGAAAAAGTGCTCCAAAATAATCAGCAAACCAAATAAACAACAAAAAAAACAAATAAATCATCAGAACAATTATCAGACAATCAGCATGAAGGATAAAACCAACAGTGCAACAAAATGTGTAAAAAAAATTTCTCGTCATTTCCACGAAACAATTAACATACCTGTTTGGCACGCTGTAGAGCCGCGGCAAAAGCCGAGCTCTGGCTGAAATTTTGTGGCGGAGCTACCGCTGAGTAATCACTCATTTTTTAATAAAACATCAAACAACGGGATAATTATCGGTATTTAAAAAATGTGATTTTTTGGGGGGTTTTGCTTCAGAGGTTTTGGCGACGATTTTCGGGGAATTGTTCTTTTTGTTTCACACGAGTGCCTCCTGGGCTGCGACGCCGATGCTCCGGGCTTTATTCCCGGGGGTTATCTTTGATTTTCGGAGTAATTACACTTGATTTCACGTATTTACTGCCACTTCGACACGTTTCAGAGGGTTTTTGGGGCGAAAACTCGCCGGGAAAATGCGAATTTTCAGAGTGAAATGAGCATTGAGACCAGAATGGACACGAAACCAAGTGTGAAGCGAGGAGTCGGCGCAGTGCAGGCGTCGGGACGATCGGTCTAATATAACGGGATGGAATATTCCCGGGAATGTGAGGGGACTGGTGATTGAGAGGTGCACGGCGCACACGGGGGATTTTTACTCGGAAAACCTTATCCGATCGGGGTTCTGGGTTTTTGAGGGCTTTGTCGGGACTTACAACGCACGTTTTGGGAGCGTCGGGGTACCGATTCCGGTCGGGCGCGGAGACAACTCTGCTGGGGTTACGGTAGGGAAAATGGCGGCGGGAAGTGGTCAAAAGGGCGAGGGGACAGGTGGGGGCGGTTGGCTGGCGATGGGGGCGGGTTTAGGAGGCTAAATAACCGGTATTTTTAAGATCGCGTCGTGTGCAGATGTAAAATGACCGTCATTTTTGATACCGCGTCATATATCCAAAAAATTGATTATTAATAATTAATTATTATTTATTATTAATCATTAATTTTTTTGGTCTATGACGCGGTATAAAAAATGGCGGTGATAGATGAAAAAAATTGTTTAATCTGTAGAATGAAATATGACTGTCATTTTTTCTTGGAAAATGGGATGGTTAAGAGGGAGAGGGGGTAATTATGACAGCCGTCGTGTGACGCGTTCGCTTTCTAGTTGGTGATTGGGGGAACCGTTTGGCGGTTGGAAACGCGGCTTTAGGGGGCACCTATTGAGAGAATTTCATTTGTTGACTATTTTTTGAAGAATTTAGTAGGTTGGAGACCAGGGCTGCGATTTTTTAATCTTTCCGAGAATATCTAGGAGACTAGTAGGCTTACAGGAAGGAAAAAAACCTACTAGTTCACGAGATACAGATAATCTGAAGAACTATCTGAAGATTCAGTTCCGATTCGGTTATTCTTCCTCACTTCCTGAATTATCTCCCAACCCTTTAGATCAGATTTTAGATAAACGTAGTAGGCTCTGAGATAATTCGTGAGGTTTTGAAGATCTCGCTCTCTCTGACTAGATCTCTCTGTCTTTCATAATTAAAAACGTTCCATGTTTACTCGTCAATAATTCGGCATCGGCAGAGTGAAAATGAACTTTTTTTTCCTCATTTCAAAGGTTTTTTTCCCTTTTCGAAATGAGATTCGAATCATCAAAATCGCACCGTTGAGTCAGAGGTTATCGAACTTTGAATTGAAGTGATTCTTCCCCTCTCCAACCGAATGCATATTCCACGCGCGTGTGATCTGTCAAGACGGGTAGTGTTTGTGTTGGTGCGTCTGGCGCCCAGTGGCCTTTCTCGATCCCAAGGAAGAACACGTGTTTCATCACTAATATAACTCATCGTCATCACTTCGCATCTCACAATAAATAATGATTAATTAAAACCCGTGTCAGTCGAGGGAGTGCCTGCAACATTGAACAGTTACCAATCTAGTGTTCATCTAAACTAGTGTTCATTTTGTTTGTTTATTTAACAGTTTTGCTGTTATTTTTTTAAATTGTTTTTCGTTATTTATACGTCCAGTTGATTTATTCGCGGAGTATGGAGACTAGGATATTGAGTAGTTGTGTTGATGTGCCACTGACAGGAGATACTCTCGACGAAATTGTTGACAAGGCCAAGGATTTTGCGCTGATAAATGGTACGGAATTTCATTAGTCATGATGACATTTTTACGTTTTTATTTATGTTTTGTTTTTGTGCCTTGATGCGTTGGCAAGAGGCATGTATTTTTTTTAGAAATTTTCATGGATCATTTTCCCAAAAAATCTGTTTTTTGTATTTTTGCTCCCATTTTGTGGGTTTAGACTTGATATCTTCGATAATTCCGGCATTATCTCGATAATAGGAGGGTTGAGAGAAAAATGTCATAAGATATTTTTTGTGGGGAATTTCAAGGGGTATAAAAAAGATTTTGTGACATTTTTTTATGAAACTGGTGGTTTTGGAGATATTCGCAAAAAACGGACGGATGTTTCTTCAATTATCTTCGATGCATCTGTGCGATTAATCATTTGAAGGCCATTCACAAACTTATGAATTAAATTGCGTGAGAAAAAATTGAAAACGATCCTGAATATTTAGCGAAATTAAAATTACGTTTTGCGCAGAATTATTCTTTTAAACATTCGCTGTTTATGGATAAATAATTGAAATTGTTTGAACTTTTGGAAACCTCATTTTTGAGGTATGAAATCGTTTTCGGGTATAATTACGATTTACTTCCATTATAAATTTACGGTTCACTTTTATTCCTGGAATAATCCCTTCATCAATGAACTTTTTTCAATCTCTTGATGATCACGATGTTCTCCAGGTGTGTGCATGCACTGGAAGCAAAATTTCGACAGAAATCGAGTGCAGATAGCCAAGTTCACATTACTCCCAACGACATTCCCCACTAATGAGTTCTCCAAGGCCCAAGACATACAGTTTATCGTCAATAAGTTGATTCACAAAGTGGCCTATGATCATGAGTTCCTCGTGGAGGCATTGAAAAGGTAATTTAGGTGAATTGCCAGCAGTTCCTTGACTCGTCACCTCAGCATTGCATTTATAAAATTTATGAAAATTGAATTATTCAGCTCCAAACTTGAGATTAGCAAATTGAAAAAAATCCATACAAGTTCCACGACTGAATTTAATTCTCTGTTTTATTCGTTACAGTACAATTGAAACGGATGAACTGACCTCAGAATTGTTTAAAATATATAAAGCTGTTTATGATGAAGGCCTAGCTCAGGTAATAGCTCGAAGAATATCGCTCTCAGTGAATAATTATGAATTTTCCAGTTGTTTAGTTTTCGAATTTTTCCATTTTTTTCCATTCGGAAGCAAAAATATTTTGATAAGTTCACAATTAGGTTTTCTCTGATTTTATCGATAACTCCTCTCACAGAAAATCAGTGTGGGACTTTTACGATCTGATTACATATTGGATAGTGACTCAAAGATAAAACAAGTGGAAGTAAACACAATTGCATCGAGTTTTGCTGGGTTATCTGAAGTTGTCACACAGTTGCATAAATATATTCTCGGAGAACTAGGGTTCACTGATAAAACTGTCAATGTAAGTATTTTATTTATTATGAACGGTGATGATTACTTCACGTAAGAAAAAATTTCATTGAAAAAACCTGCGAATTCGCTAGAAAATTCTGTTGCATCGCCATTGAAATCTCTTATTTTTTAACGGAAATATTCAATGAGAAATATACTATTGAATTCTCGAAAGGAATTAAAAATTAAACATTTAATAATTCAAAAAAAGTTTAAATTCTCTTCTGAATTCGCTAGGTTTTTCTAGGATTTTTTTTTGTACGTGTGACGATGAGTGGTACTGAACTGATATTAAGCTTCCAGAAAACCATTCAGCGACTGGTCTTGCTGAGGGACTGGTCGATGCCTGGAGTGTTTACAAGAACGAAGAGTAAGAAACTTGCGAAACTATTCTCGAAATATCTCCGTAACCATTGGTTTCAGAGAAAAATATCGAAAAATCTTTTTTGTGGGAAATTAAATTGCCCACAAAAGTATTCTCTTGACATTTTCCTCTAAATCCACTCGTTTAAAAGATACATGCAATTTTTTATTGTCTCTCTTTTGGATAAATTCATCCAGTTGTCAATGGGTTTTCGTTTTTTTAAAATAATTTCAGGGCTGTGATTTTATTCGTTGTTGAAGAAATAACGTACAACATTTCTGACCAGAAGGCTCTTGAAATAGCCATTCGCCAGAAAAATCCTAAAATCAGGGTGATTCGAAAGAGTTTTAGATATTTAATTGACAATGCACAGTTGCGACCTAATAAAGAGCTGATTGTGTAAGTATTTTAATTAATTATTTTCACAGCCACATGACAGTATTTTTGTATTTTTTATCAGAATAAACCGCCCGATATGAATGCGTTAAATGAATTTTTAAAAAGCCACACGAAATCATGTGTAAATTAAAGTTAAATTTTTTGTTTTTCAGGGGAAATGATTTAGTGTCAGTTGTGTATTATCGAACGGGATACGAAACATCTGCCTACCCCACAGACAAAGAATGGGAGGTGAGATTGCTGATCGAACGCTCTCGTGCCATCAAATGTCCCTCCATACAGTACCACCTAGCTGGTACAAAAAAAGTCAGTGTCTATTTTCATTCACTTTTTGATTGTTCAATGATTTAATCATGGTTTTCATTTAATTTATTTTCCTTAAAGACCCAAGTCAACAGGGCTAATTACAGGATCAAATGAAATATACAGAAAATCTATCAATCGAATCATTAATATATGCAGTTTAAACAGTTTCCCCACTCATGGGGAAACATTTCTTAGTTATTAGACGACTACCTATCCTATCTAAATAACTTCGTAACATAAATTTTTATTCGTGCTCCCGTTTTTAGTTGTTTTTAGTCAGTTTTGTACTGTTTTGTTCGTTTTGTATTTTTGTTGATTTTTTTCTTCAATTATTTATCATTTTTATTTATTATTTTTTCAATTATTTTAATAGTTATTTCAATTGTTTATTTATGGTTAATCGATTTTTTCCCGAAATTTATAGATGAATTTATTTGTAGGTCCAGCAAGTTTTATCGCAACCTGGAGTTTTGAGAAAATTTCTCAGTGAAAATGAAGCTGCAAAACTTCAGGACGCGTTTGTGGGACTTTATTCCCTCGATTTCGTAAGTTTTTGTCAAGAGTCAATTCTGCGGATTTTTCCATTTAATAGTTTTTAGTAAATAGTTGGGCATTCTATTTTAAAAAAAGTACAGAAATCCAATAGGATTTTCTACAGAATTGACGGTTTATCTCAATGAAATTTTTTCGCGCGTGATTCCTCTCACTCATTCCTCAGGATAAACATGGAGAGCACGCAGTGGAGATGGGGATCTCCAGCCCCGAAAAATACGTCCTAAAACCACAGCGTGAAGGCGGCGGTAACAATGTCTACGGAATCAACGTGAAGACAAAATTAGAATCGATGAGGAACTCGAAGGAGCGAATTGCCTGGATCCTCATGGAATTGATCAGAACTCCACTCCAGAGGAACTACCTCATATCCCCTGACCTTCCGAGGCCGTCTCTCCAGGATTTTGCCTCTGAACTGGGGATCTACGGAGTCATCCTTGGGTTCGTAAATTTCCTCTCATTCAATTCCCAATAAAAAATGAATTTTTTCAAAGTCAATTCATCAATTTTTCCTCTCGTTCCATTTCTGTTCAGAGATGACAATGACATCAAGGTAAACAGACAAGTTGGCCACGTGATACGGACGAAGCCTTTTGGGGAGAACGAAGGCGGAATAATTGCTGGGGCAGGGGCCCTCGACACCCCCTATCTACAGCCCTAAGCCCTGTATGTTTAATTTTCAATTGAGAATTAAATCAAAATATTTTTATTAAATAAATGACGAACCCGAGTTGAGTGCTGATCTCTGTTGTTGGCAAACTCGAATAGATGAAGGAGGAAAAAAAATAAACAAAAAATAATAATAATTAATAATAAAAAATAATATTATTATTAATATTATTATCAATTATTAATAATAATTTGTTCAATAGTCGTTGCACTAAATCTCATCTTTCAGAGTGAAAATTTAATTTAAGAAAAAATGGATGAAAACGAAATTAGACGAAAAGCAATTGGACGAATAAAAAAATCAATTTTTTTTAATACTTGTAATTTGGATAAACATCCTTAAAAAGTGCCTGAGTCAAACGACTCAATCTCCCCCTTGCCCTCTCCCAACAACAACTCACACGATCTCTCAGTAAAAACTCTTTGTATTTACTTATCTAAACTTACATAATTTTGGTAGATAAAATATACAATTGAAGTGCGAAATTTCTGCAACGGAGTTACGTAATTCAACACCTGAAATTTCTCTAGAAACAACAAACAGTTGCTTAACTCTTTGACAACTGGACTGTTGGTTCGTCTAGAAAGCGATTAATATTACAAAACAACATCAGTTTTTTTTGTGCAAGCCACATAGTAAAGAGATATTGTCTATAGAAAATGCTCGCCCCAAATTTTTCATGTTTTTTGTCCAATTTTTCAACGAAAAGAGAAGAAAAATATAATTTAAAAAACTGAAAAAATTGATGTCAAGAAATTCTATAGAAAACGCCTAGAAATATGAAAATCTACTGATTTTTCTACACCATAATTTCTATTTGACATTTTTATTTTAAAAAACCGCAATAAAGCTCTGAAATTTTTCAGCAGAATCGGCCATAAAACTAACAGAATTCCCCCTAGAATTTCAGTAGCAAATCCACTAGAATTTTCCATCGAATTCGTTACGTTTTTCCATGAAAATTTCTTTCTGAATCAATCCTCCAGATGTCTGAATAAATCATGAGAATCAACAGCGTGACTCATTGTACAACTTTCAGTGGCGCTCCCCCCGGCTCTTCAACGTCTCCTCCTCTCTATTTTAACAGAAATAGGCTCCACAGGTTTGAGCATGACGTCAGCCTTGAGTTTAATGTCCTCAATCCTGACGAACTGATCCTTCTTGAGAACGTAGTGTCTCAGGACAGTAGCCAGAAGTGTCTTCATGGCCATCATAGCGTACCTGACACCAATGCAGTTCCTAGGGCCAGCACTGAAGGGCACGAAGCAATAGGCATGACGCTTGGCAACTTCCTCGGGTAGGAATCTGTCAGAGATAGACGACAATTATGAAGATAATGCAAACATTCAATATTACTATCATTATTATAATTTTTTAAATATTTGGCCACGAGAATTAATTATCATATATTGTACTTCAGGTGATTTAAAATATTTTCCCCAATGCCATCTAGACCGAGTTCGGTCATGAGATTAATTGCATTATCTGTCAAATTTTTTTACCTCAATATTGGCTGAAAAAAAATTAACGTCTGGGTAATGTTGGCTGTCAACGTTGTGGCAATGTTGATTACCAATGTTGCTGCAATGTTGGCTTGCAGCATTGAGGCAATGTTGACTTCCATGAATTATTGAATTCAATTTAAAATATATCGTCATAGAACGCCATTCGAAAGCAAATTGCTAATTTACCAACAAAAATGTATTGACTATGTTGTGACGAAAGCAATTTCCCACTTGTTTTTCTTTAATATTAATAGCCCTCGAGAGTCACTACACGACCCTAGTTGCCCGATGCGAAAAATCACATTCCCGATAAAACTTTTGTGATATTCATTTTCAAGTTATGCAAATATTGTAAATGATGGCTGTTTTCAACAGAAAATCGGGTTTGAAAAAAAGTATAGACCTGTCAGGATCGAACTTGAGGGGCTCCTTCCAGTATTTCTCGCTCCTGTGCATCTTCAGTATGCCAATCACAACTGACGACCCCCGAGGGAGGACGTGATCCCCAATGTCGAGATCCTCGCTGACGTATCTGACTAGGACTGGACCCACGGGGAAGAGTCTGAGGGTCTCCTTGATCGTTCGCTCGAGATACTCCATTCTGTGCAGGTCCTCGTGAGTTATCGCAGTGTCAGTGTTGATGTTGTCCCCGTAGATGGTGCAGAGCTCCTGGTAGCATCTCTCCTGGACCTCGGGGTAATTCGCCAGCATAAGCATCACGAAGGAGTTCACTGAGGCCGTTGTGTCGTTCCCTGCGATCATCATCGTGTCCACCTCCTCTCGGAGCTCCTCGTCCGTGAACTTTGTTCCCTCGTTTGAGAGCTCCATCAAGAGGTCCAGGAAGGCCTTCCGGGGCTTTGTGTCTTCGATTATCGGGGAGTCATTGGCGAGGTCTCGCTTCTTCTTCTTTATCACCTGGGGGTGGGAAGGGGGAGATTAGAGATGCGGAAAAATTTTTAATGGAAAATTCTCCCTCGATGCACGTTCCGCGTGCGCAAAATCCCGTGGAATTTATGTAGAAAATATAAGTCATTATTTTGAAACCAGTATTCAGGGAAAGGTAAAAAAAATTAACGTCGGGACAACGTTGGCTGCCAACGCTGGGGTAATGTTGGCGCAATGTTGGCTGCAAACGTTGGGGCAATGTTGCCTGTCAATGCTGGTGTAATGTTGGGGTAATGGTGGGGCAATGTTGGCTGCCAACGTTGGACCGATGTTGAATTCAATTCACCATTAAATTCAATTTCAAATCCATCATTATAAAAATTTCATTGGCAATCAAATAGCTAATGTATTACCAAAAATATATCGACTATGTTACGACGGAAGCGATGCCTCACTTGTATTCGTACATAAAGTGTTTGAAATTCAATTCCCACCACTTACATCATTTGTTAATCCATGCAAATACTCTATGCACTCTCGCTGGTCCTTCCCCAGTCGTGTATTATTGAAAATAACGTCCGGATGCAGCCAGACTTTGAACATTCTGGTGTACAAAATCTCAAATGTCCTCTTCGCTGACTCTACGTACGTGGGATCGCCCTCTGTCTGGGCTTTCATCGCCACTCCCATCGCAGTCTCGCAGATGATGTCGAGGGTGCACAGGGATATGTAGTTGAAGACATCGAACTCGTCTCCATCGATTTCCACTTTCATCTGTCGCACCATTATCTCGGATTGCTGGGCAAACACCTCCACGAAGGACTCGAGAATTCGGGGGTTGAATGTCGGAAGTATCAACTTCCTGTGGACTCGCCATTTCGATGCTGGAGCGTGGAATTATCCCCGAGGAAATTAGAAAGGTGAGGATAAAACATTGATTAAAATCTTTTAATTGGAAAAAATTGCTTCCTAAGGGTAGAGTTACTTCCGTTTGACTCTTCAAAACTTTCAACCCTAAAGAGCATTTCACCCTTCACCATTTTTCGAAGTAATATAAAGTAATATAAATAAAAAAGTAATATAAGTAAAAAAAAGTATTTTGCAACCGTTCCATCCGTCATTATCTGAGAAACGATTGGTTCTAGAGGAAAATGTCAGAAAACTATTTTTGAAGCTGAGGAAATTTCCTACAAAAAATCTTTTATCACATTTTCTCCTCAAGTCATTGATTAACGAGATATAACTATAATTAACTTCATGAATAAAAAAAAACAAGAATAACGAAAAAAACGAAATAATAAAATTGATGAATCTAAATCTTGATGGATAAATACAAAATTTTGAATAGTTGAACGATAATTTCTTTAACGAGACCTCATATTTAATGCATGAATCATGAATGTTCGTGAACAGCATTGTGGAATGTATATATTTTCATCGGTGTTATACCTATCACTGTTCAACTCTTTGATGCTTGGCACGCACATACGTATAATAAAGCGCTACGGGTGGCTCCTTGTCCCCCACAGGTATAATTGAACGACTTGTACTTGAGGCACGTAGCCACTGTACTTAGTACCTGAAGAATGATAAAAAAAAGTAACAGAGAGAGGAAGGAAAATTCACCTGGTGCCGTAAATAATCCCGTTCCCAGCCAAGGACGTGCAAATTTGTAGAGGTCCTCTTTTTCAATGGTCTTCGGACTCGTGAAGACTATCTGGAGATGATTAAAAAATTAATTAGCTGGCACTTATGATTCTGGTGAGTGGGTAATTGCATAATTCTTTATAAAAGAGGCATTTTGCTTCCGATTGGATGTATTGTATTCGTCAAATCCGAAATTTCCAATTTTTTGGGTCAGGAGGACTAATTTTGGCCTCAGGGGTTCAAATGCTATTTTTGGCCGAAAAAATAATTGCCTACATTGATCGCATCGTTTGTCGTTAAAAAAATTCATTTTAGAATAAAAATTTAGGGAAAAGAAAAAAATTCTAGTGTTGGGCCAATGTCGGGCCAATGTTGGATGCCAACGTTGGCCAATGTTGAATTCAGTGAATCATTGAAATCAATTTAAAATACATCGCCATAGAAATTCCATTCAGAAGCAAATCGTCAATTTATTAGCAAAAATATATTGACTATGTTGTGACGAAAGCAACAACAACAAGTTAACTTCGTTAATTATTGAAAAATAAACGTTTTGACGGGAATTTGACTTTCTGCATGAAATTCCTTTTGCCGTTTTTTCATGACTGTAATTGCCCTCGAGATAAATGCATGTCTTTAAAGTATTGTTTCTTTTGGCAATACTGCGATGCCAAATACAGCGATGAAAGTGAACATTTACCGTGGCAATCTGTGAGTAATGATTATTCTCGGGAGCTATTATGAACTAGGAAGTGAAATTGCGAGAGATTTTGCATATCATTGGGTTTCTCTCTGGTGCTGGGGTATTATGCGTTATTTCATTACGATTACTCAATTGATTTTGACCGTTGTAAGGCCGTTACCTTCAGCTGCTCGGCCTCGCAGACTCCGAAGAATAGGCGACTTCCCAACCAGAATCGAAGGGGTGATGGATATGCGTCCAATAATTCCGTTATTTTGTTTAGTATGTCTGAAAAATTCACCATTTCTTTCTGTGTTCTTGTAAATCAAAATTACGAATTGAGAAAATTGAGAAAATCGTGAATGTGTTAAAAACTATAGTTTTTGAAAAAATATTTCAATGGAGAATTCATTGAATTTTCTATTAGAAATTCAATGAGTTTTTCGCCGATTCCATTGAAGAATTCCGCAGCTTTACTGTGTATTTTTTATAGATGTCCAATAGAAACTATTTTATAGAAAAAACATCAGTAGAAATTAGTCAACGTCAATTCTCCACGTTTTCCCCCTCTATTTTTCTTCTCGTATTGTGAAAAAAATAAAGCAAAAAAATAGAATCCTTCAAAAATATTAGTTAGTTAATTAGAAAGTTCAACAGAAATCCAATAGAATTTTCTATCGATTTAGCTGTATCCAATGAAATTTCTTCGTGCATAGCAGTAAAAAAAAACAAATCCCCATTTTTTCACCGAACAAATGAGTCAGTTTAATAACTCATTTCGCCCCCAATGGCCCCTCCATAGAGACTGAAATTTTTTTTTGAAATTGCGACATCAATTTTCTCAATTCACCCCGTGAAATTTCCACAATTAGCACTTTCTTTACGCGCGAAAACCCTCATAAAGATTGCGGGACTCACCCTCAGTGCTACCCACGAAGACATGAGCATTGCCAATGAACGGAAGTGCCGGTGGTCCGGGAAATTTAGCAGCTGCCCGATAAAGTCGTATCTTCCTCAGATAAAATATTAATAAACTTAAAAATCCCAATACTCCGACTGTCTTGAGGAGCAACAGTACAACTGCCATTTCGAAATAAGAAAATCTTTTCACCTCAAACGTCAACTCTTTCGCGAAATAGACACGTAGCAATCAGTTTTCAGCTACACCTTCGAATTGCTATTGACGACTGTGTAAATTTCTCGTGTGTCCCCGCCTTATCCCCTATTTTGCATGGCACTACGTGCCGAACGACCAACCACTGAACTGATGAAGAGCAGTGAAATCGCCGATGACCTTTGTAGTTTTGAATTTATGATTTACCTGAGATTGATTTTTGGGGACACGTGGAGTACGTCAAGGACGCGCTGAAATCAGCGGGAGTGGGAAAAACAAAATTCCACGATTACGGGGAATCTCTTTGATGGGGAATTTATGGAAGGCGGGAGGTTTTTGCGGGGTACACGTATGAAAAAATTTTATAGAAAAAATTTGAGTGTCTCGGAAAATTACTCTTGAAATTTCAAGTGAAGAAGCTTGACATTTTTAACAACGACAAAGTTACATGAAATTTCTGTAGAATTGTTCATTGACAAATCAGTCAATTTCGAATATTCAAGTAATTCTCGATTCTCAGGTCCATACCGCACTGAAAAACCTTGAAAATTTTAAAAATTCAAACAATTACTTATTGACAGTGATATAATGAAACATTGGGCTTTTTTGCTTCAGAATCGTAAGGACAGTCGGACAAAACGAGTTTCTGTGGGTTATCATACGTGTCAGAAGGGTCAACTAAAATGATAAAAGTTATTTGACTCTTTAAATATAATGACGAGATTATATAGTCCAAATCGTCTAGCTGAGCTAAATCGAGAGGGCCTTGGACAATTCATTGCAATGGAAAATTCTATTGAATAGAAAATCCTGTTTAATAGGGAATTTTATGGATTATTTTCTAATTTTTATTGGATATATCACAATTTTCCTGGACGTAATGAGCGTTGAGACATCCCGACGTCTTAATTGTCTATCGTCAAAAGTCGATTTGGATTTTTATAATATAGAGAGGTTTTTCAATTTCTATTGGATGAATCATAAATTTTTTGGACGTATTCTCCATTATGATATCCCAAGAGCTTCGAAATGACCGAAATTATCAATTAGGTTTCAGGGTTCGTGGTTTTTCCAAATGATTCAATACAAAAGTAACATTCGAGTAAAAATATATTTCTCTCAAATACAATTCACATGCGTACGTGATGAATTTTAGTTATGCACAGAATGACGCATAAGGACAATGCCATAAATTTTAAGACGTGTAAATTCCCTGTTGACGAATCCATTGAGGACACAAATGAGATGTGACAGTGACTAAAAAATAATACATAGGCAAATTACAAACCGGTTCTGTCAAAAGTTCGGTGATTTCGATCTTTGGACTGTGAACCTAAAATTCGCTGTTACATTCACTTCTGCCTTATTTAGCATAAATAATTCAATATTTACAGAACAACATCTAGTGGATAATGATGACATAGAATTATGATTAACAGATATGATAATATTTGCAGGATTTTTGCGGTTCGATCTCTTGCCTCTGAATCTATGAGTTGTAAATTTATTCATTATCTTTTAAAATTATTTATTGGTAATCTTCCCATGAATGATCTTGGCGAAAAATGTCCGACGACGTTTTTTGTGAGAAATTTATTTCCATTTTTTATATCTTTTGATTTAAAGGAAGTTGTATATTAATCTTTAAAACCTTCAGAAACTATTAAAATAAAATTTCTCACAAAAAATGTCGTATTAAATGTTTTCCAAAAACCCATTATCCAATAAATTATCACGAAGCCGATCGTTTTTTCTTTTAATTAATCCAAAATAAGTACTTCAGATTAATCTTCAAATATCTTGAAAACTAGATCCATAATAAAAATGTCAATAAACATTTTTATAGAAAATTAAATGACCTACAAAAAATATCTCTCGACTAAACCTGTAATCCTCCAATAATAATTACAACACTTTACAGCTAATACCTAAATAAAATAACATTAGCCACACCCTCCAATAACTTCACAATTACCCAAAATAACGGCACGCATTATCCTCACCTAATGACTTGATCGTTCATTATTACGCAGGTGTAATACCCCACATTATCACAATTTCAAGTTTACAACTAAAGCCCCTTGGCAATTGAACTCCAAAAACACCCCGAATAATCAATTTTACGGCTTGATCAAACGTGTTTTGTATTCAGTATCATCGTTGATAAATTCACCATCGGAATGATCGCAATTCATCAGCTCCAGGGATTGCTTGGAGTTGTTTTTTGCTACTGATGCTGGATGTAATTTCGTGTGAATATTCAATGGATTTTCGTACTCATGCTCGCCCGGGGGAATTATCGGCAATACGTAATCACTGGTTACTCCTGGGGTATTCCCGAATGATGGATTTTGAAAGTGAATGCTAAAAAAATTAAACGAAGAAAATAAAACGAGAAATTCATTGGGCAATCGAATTTTGATCGTTGATTTCTCTTTTGTATTTTTTTTTCAGTTTCGAAACAGAGACAGGCAAACTCGTAACTCAGAATTATAATTATTTCATTGCATACTAAATCAGTTGGCTGAATTAATCATCAATTAAATTATTGAAATTTGAAATATTTTCAAATTTTAATAAAAATTTGTGAACTTTAATTAATTTAAGGAAAGGTTTTTTAGTACTTCTAAACTTGTGATTTTTTCCGATCCCTCTTTCGAAGGACTGAAATTGAGTGGTATGAATTATTAAACTGATGGTCGAATGAGATTTATCAATTTTCCATTCGGAAGAAACAATTTTCAACCCTGAATTCCTCATTTGATTAATTTTTTCGAGGAGGACGAATGAATTAAGAAAATATTGATATTATAGTTTAACTTTGAACACTCATAGTAGCCTCCCCTTAAAAAATCGAAATAACATGAAAATAAGCGTATGAATGTGTAGAAAAAATCGATGACAAGAGGATTAAAATCGTGATATTAATCGAATTAAAATACCCAAAATTGATGAAATGAATTGTTTGGTCTATTTGGGATGATTAATTACCTCAGATCGTACTTGTTACGGAGTTCCATCTTGTGCTTCTGATAATACCAATAAGCAGATAGCACGACAACCCCGAGAATAATTGTGATGACGATGCCAGTGAGTGGTCCGGCCTGGCGTTCAGTCTTCCCGAAGCCCTCGTGTTTCTTGAGAAGAAGTGAATTAGAATCAAACCTGACGTCCGAAATGTCGGAATGTGGGCATGCGCTGTCTGCATCTTGTTCCGAGCCATCGTGACAAATGCACCGGGGAATCCCCTGACTCTGCACACACATATAATCGCAACTGTGATCCTCGCAATGGTTGATGCCTGAGGGAGGATTAAAAATGAGGATCATTAGCATAACTAGAAACTCAAGCGCAGAATCATGAATAATCATGAATCAATTCGCTGAATTTTCGGAAATTCAGAGTAATAATTTTTCTTCAAATTCGAGATAACGGAACAGGAAAGAATAAATTAACTGCAAATATTCTAGTCTCTAATATTAAAATAGAAAATGCAGATATTATTGGGGCATTAGCATAACTAGATGAGGGAATTTATAGAATGAAGAAGAAAATACGACGAGTCGAAAATGAAATATTTTAATATCCTCTGACATTGGAAAGACTTTGATAATTTGGGCATTTCAGAGAAATAAGAGAGAAGAAAATTACACTTATAAAGTAATTTTTAGAATCTCATGAGAATTTTTTATTAGCATTTCTATAGGATTTTTCGGGAATGTGTAATGAATTCGGACAAAAGCCTTTGGAAAATCTCTAAATATAGGTATAGATTTTTTAAATTCTACTGAAAATTTAGTGATTCCATTGAAAATTCTATAGAATCATTGAAAATAAATGCTAAAAATGATTATTCAAATCATAAAATTCTATAAATGTGCAACTCTATTTGTGTCTATAATTATTTCTATAGAATTCTCAATAAAACCTTTGGTAGAAAACATCTCAATAGAATAAGTTGTACCGAAAATTGAAAAAAAAAAAAGTAAAAATTCTATAAAAATGTAATCGCTCACCAATGGGTTGCCTGGACTCATGCGAAATAACAAAGAGTCCCTCCACATTACTGCTCTTCACCGGGACCTGCACGCACCTCCTCTCCCCCGTCAACAAGCACTTCTTCATGACCCCAGACGTCCCAACCAGCCAATAAACAGCGTCCTCAAACACATTAATCTCCACAGGCTGATGCACCTGATCCTTAATGAAGACTTCCCTCTCCTTTCCCTCGAGTGTCGCCCTCTCGACCACCTGCAGAGCCGCATCAACCCAGTAGATCATCCCCCTCCCATGATCAACGGTGATCCCCGAGACGACCCCCAGCCCCTCCCTCGCAATGTTCACCGAGTTCTCCCCACTGAGCTCAGCCCTCCAAATTTCGCTAGTCGGTCTATCGAAATCGGCAAAATTCGTCTGCGCCCAGAAAACAAGTCCATTCACGGGATCAACAGCCATCGACAAGACGTTCCCAGGATCCTCCAGCTGTACGATGACAGCGCACTTGGTCTCATTGACGTTGCAGACCTTGATGGCCTTGGGCTTCTCACTATCAAAGTAGTAAACATTATCAGTGATCCAGTCGACCGCCAGCACCCTCGGCCTCCCGATGTTCGCAATTCTCCTGTGCTCCCTGGTTCCCAGATTGAACTCGTGAATGCTCCCCAGCAGTTCTGAGCTCCAGTACAACGAGGCCTTCCGCACATTAACATCGAGTCCAGTGACCTGCACCTGCGGCTGCTTGTGCACCACTTCGATGACATCCAAAGACGCAGGTATTCGCCTGATGTCGTCCCTCGTCGCCGTTATAAACTCCACCGAGCCATTGATGACCTTGCAGGTGCTCCTGTCCGACCTCAGGACATACCCGGGGAAGCAGGCGCACTCGTACGAGCCGATTTCATTACGACACACCTGGGCGCAGACGTTGTTCCTGCACTCGTCAACGTCCTCGCAGCTCTCGCCATCCTCCCCAAGTGTGAAGCCCTCCCTGCACCAGCAGACGGCTCCCCCCGGGCTCCTCTGACACAGCTGTTCGCAGAGATTGTCCCTCGAGCAGCTAGTGGTGCAGCCCTCCCCCTCGTCAGAGCCGTCGAAGCAGTCATTCATTCCATCGCAGACGTACTCCCACCTGAGACACCTCCCGCTGGCGTTGCACTTGAACTCAGGGCAGGGGGCGTCATTCTTCGTGACCTCGAGTCCCCCCCAGTGTCTATGAACATCGCAGCCCTTCTCGTCTGAGTCATCCCCACAGTCATCCTGATCATCGCACACCCAGTGCTTCGGGATGCACCTGAGGTTTCCACAGGCAAACTCATCGCCCCCGCAATGACTGCAATGATGCTCGTCATCGTTCTTGGGGCAATCCATCTCTCCGTCGCACCTCTTGTCCATCGGAATGCATTGGCCGCTGCCCGCACACGTGTACTCGCTGATGCCGCAATTTACTGACGACCTGAAGGACTCCCTCCGGCAGTTCAACTCGTCGCTCGAGTCCTCGCAGTCGTCGACAGCATTGCAGATGAGCTCCGCGTCGATGCACTTCTGATTCTCACACGTGAACATTGATTTGGGACACGACCTCCTGGTGCACTTGTCACCCTCGTCGGCCCCGTCGACGCAGTCCTCCTCGCCGTCGCACTCCCACGCGCCTGGGATGCAGCGACCCGAGGGACACCTGAACTCCAGGAGCTCGCAGGTCCTGTCTGCGCAGTTGGCTTCGTCCGAGGAGTCGAAACACTGGGCGACTCCGTCGCAGATCTTGTACGGGGGAATGCATCTTGAGGAGTCTCTGCACTGGAACTCGTCGGGAGCGCAGGGCTTTGAGGACGTGCAGTTCTCCTCGTCCCCTCCGTCATGGCAGTCGTCAATCCCGTCGCACAAACTGCTGGTATCGATGCAGGAGTTGTCGGAGCATTTGAATTCCCCAGACGAACAGTCGGCCTCGACGACGCAGCTCTTCCTGTCGCTACTCAGGGTCATCCCCACTGGGCACCTGCAGACGGCCGTCAGCGGAGCGTCCACCAGGCACACGTGGGAGCATCCGCCGTTGCCCTCCTGACATCTGTGAGAGCTCCCTGATGACGGCTGAGGTGCACTCGTGGTGACGAGGTGCATGATGTCGATGGCGGACGGAATGTCCAATGTCAGCCCCTTGTTCCTGGTGATGATCGAGTACTTGCTGGACCAGAAGAGACGCGTGCTGTTCTTCACCGTCCAGAAGACCTCGTCGTCGAGGATCGCCAGGCTGACGGGTTCTACCAGAGCGGAATGCAGGAGTTTTCTGTTGTATCCGTCCAAAGAGATGCTCTCGATAGCTCCTGTTCCCTGATCCGCCCAGAAGACTCTCCTCGTTTCACGGTCGAATGCCAGAGAGACCCGGGGCCCTTGGAGGTAGTCCACAATCTGCGTCCTGCCACCTCCTGTCATCGACATTCTGTCAATATGACACTTGGCGACTGAGCAGAAGGCGACGTACATCGTGGCGAGCTCTGGTATCAGCAGAACGGTTGTCGGCTGTTCGGGAAAATGAAGGAGGGTCTCGCTGGAGGTCGACAGACTCCTGACGATGATGGTTTTGCGCTCGATGTCAGACCAGTAGAGATTATTCCCCAAGTGATCGAACGCCAGTCCCCCGATGACTTCATGAGAAACCTCGAAGAGTCCGTCGTACTCCCTGGAAGAGGCGTTGAACCTCTTGACGGTCTGGGACTTCTGGTCGACGACCACAACCGCCTCCAGAATGGAATCGTAAGTGGCGCTGCCAATCTCCTGGAACGTGTAGTGTGCATCGATCTCAGGCTTGCCGAGAATCTGGTGGTAGTAATCGATGAAGAATTTCCCAGCAGCGATGACCAAGTGCTCATGCTTGCCGTCCTTGAGCCGCTCACAGCTCTTGCCGTCGATTCCCAGTGCTTTATCAGGAGTGCAGGCACACGTGTAGCTGTGATCGGCAGCCAGCAAGCACAAGCCCTCGCACCGATTCCCATTGCAGGGATTGTGAAGCTCCGGCTTGAGAACAGAGTGGTATATGTGGATTCCGTAAATCTCGTCGACCTCTTGGAGGAGAGTCTTCTCCCCCTTGCCAGTGAACTTGTTGCAGTGATGAATGCTCTTCGTCTTCCAGTCGCTCCAGAAGAGTCTGTCCTCGAAGACGGCTATGGAGAACGGATGAGTGGCGACAGTGCGCAGGACAGTTCGTCTGTCAGTCCCATCCAGATTAATGGACTCAATGATCCCCATCTTGGCGTCTACCCAGTAGAGCCTCGAGTTGGGATAGTCGATGGTGAGGCCGTTGGGCCAGCCAAGGCCCTCAGTGACCATCGGCAATCGTGTGTTTCCATTCATCTCCGCTCTCGATATGTGGGGATTCACTCCCCAGTCGCTCCAGTACATCTCGCCAGTCGCTGGGTGCAGGGCGAGCCCTCGGGGCTTGTCTGTGTCCTCAGTTATGATGATTGCGCAGTGCGAGCCCGAGTTCGTGCAGACGCCTATACGCTTGTAAAGGCTGTCGGTAAAGTAGATGTTCCCCGTTATCCAGTCGACAGCAATTTCCTCGGGGATTCCCAGACCGGCGGTCACGATCACTTCGGCTCTCTGGCCGTCCTCGAACGCCCGGAAGATGGCTTCGTTCCCCATTTTTATGTCCGACCAGTAGATGTAGGTAGCGTCCAGGGAGACCGCCACCACGTGCTTCAGATTCCTGGCGATGGAGAAGTAGAATTCTTTGGCGGAGAGGTAGAAACCGCGGATTTCGGTCTTCGAGGAGAACACCAGGAGGGCGTCCCCGCGGTCCTTCGAGACCTTGCAGGTGCGCTGGTCGTCTTGGAGGTCGTAGGCTATGTCGCAGAGGCAGGAGTAGGTGCCGGGCTCGTTTATGCAGTGCTGGTCGCACAGCTGGGGATCCTCCAGGCACTCGTTCACGTCCGCGCAGGTGGCGTTCAGCAGGCGGTGCCCTGGCGGACAGGTGCACACCGGACCTCGGGGCGTTGGCTGACAACTGTGACTGCAGTTGGCGGTCTTGCACTGCTCCTCGGCGATGCTGCAGACGGTGCCGTGCTCGTCCGAGTTGTCGCCGCACTCGTTGAACGCGCTGCACGTCGAGTTCAGGGGGATGCAGCGGTTGTTGTTGCATTTGTAGAAACCGGAGGAGAGGGTGCAGTTCTCGGGGGCGTGCGGCTGACAATTGTATTCGTCCGAGTGGTCTGGACAGTCTGTCTGGCCGTCGCACACCCATCGCTCCTCCGTGCAGTAGCCGTCGAAGCAGCGGAATTGATTCGCAGTACATGTTTTCTGGGGATTAAGGGGATTCGTTCTAGGGAGGTTTTCATATTTTATGGAGGGGGGGGG